AGATAGTTTACGGTCCCTGTTTGTTCTTCAGCCTTGCACACACTTGCAAGATAACTCAGGTTCAGAGAACAATAATGGGATTTATTTAACAAGCAAGGAAAAATAAAGAGTCACTGAGGTCACAAATAGCTGTTTACCTCACCCAAAGCAGTGTCCAGTGTGTTATAGTGCTAAACACAAACGCTCCCAAGGTGGCATCTCCCCACCACAGAGGACCTGGAGCACGTGGCAGCCAGACAATAGGCCGGGTTCCAACTCACAAAGACAGCAGGAGCCACAACAGGAGCCACTCACAGGAGCTGCTGAGATGCCCCAGTACAGCACCAGACAGTCGACAAGGGAAACAACAGCTGCGGTAGTCGAAGGATGGGACAAGGCAGCCACACTCACACAGCTCAGTGAGGCGCCTGCTCCGGGTTCTTCCCTCCCAGGTTTTAACAGCAGCAAAGCTGGTAACAGTTTCAGTCACTCAGCTACCTGCAAAGCCTCCAAACTTTTCTTCTCTGAGGTTGGCTGCTGGAATCCTCTCGATGTCCTGTGGAGGCCAGCAACAGCCTTCTGGAAGATCAGCGTGGTGGCGACAGAAATGGCTAACCCTGGAATTGCTGAAGATCCAAAAACTGAAATCCCAAATGCTGAATACCTAACTCTGAAACCTGAGGGCTGTTTCTGCAACCTCTTATATTTCTTATCAGCGTCTCCACCCCAGCGGATATTTTGTAGGTATTTCGCCTGGGGCTATTCATCCTCAGGAGCAGCCCCCTACAGAGGGGCCACCTGTAATAATCTTTGGCTCCAGCACCCGTTTACAATTTGACATTAAAAACTATGATCTGAAGAGATCATTGGATATATTGAATATTTACTTTCATACGAACCTAAATGAAAATTCAAAGACTGTAAGTTACTTGGTTTCTGAGTTATTAATGCCAAAAATTCTATTTTTTAGAATTGTGAGATTATTTAATACTTAAAGCCATAGTTAGGCTTCAAACCTGCAGTAGGAAAAATTGAGCTGCGAAGATTGTACAGTCCCTTCAAAAAAAGGCATGCTCACCAACACTTATTCCAGGCCTGTCTGTGAAAAAGGAAAGAAAACCCAGAGATAAAAGGTGAGGAACAAAGTCCAAAGTCCAAAGAAAAAGCCCAAATAAAAGGGTGGCTAAGTCCAAAGAATAGGCTGGGCTAGGTTAAGAACATGTTTTAATGCGAGGGAAGGGAGTCTCAACAACTCATATCTAGCAAGATTTGATAATCTTTGGTATTTCTCATCCCTTGCTTTCTAGGTGAGAGTTTTCACTGTAATTATCTTTTTCTTATTTGGATGAGTAAAGATATAGTGTAAGCTGTATATAAAAAAGATAAGTTAATTTTGTGCTGAGTTAATGTTCCAAAGAAAGTAGAGTCTGAGAAGCAACATGGTCTTAAAAAGATAAGGAAGAGCTATTAGGCTTAATACATGATTGCAGGCTCTTTATTTGGGTCTAAGTTGTTACAATTCCCTGCTAGTTAGCAGTCCATGTGGGCATCCTGTCTTAAGATGGGACCGTTCTACATGTGTTGTATTGACCTGAAACTGTCACACATCCACACCTAGCTGCAGAGGAGTTTTAAAAATGTGGTCTTAGCTGTGCAGTCATGTGATCACCTAAAACGCCATTACTAAAAGGACAAAAAAGGAAATGAATTTCTGGAGATAATTAGCAGTCACGTTAATCTATTATGTAATATTGAGTGTGAAGTATTGGGATGAAGGTACTTTGCTTTTTATTCTTTTTATCAGTAAACCTCAAGAAGAGACAATAAGACCTGATGGGAAGGAATAAGCATGACCCAGATAACCTGAATTTTATGCATTCATTAAATGGTATTTGGGGTTATTAGAAAAGAGTTTTGCTCTAGCGTGAGAAGAGAACATGTACTTAAATGCACTAAGGGAAAATGTGGCAGTTTTTCCACTCAAGTGAAGAATGTACATAGAGATTCACCATAGCATTCTTTGAGGATAGGATATTCAAGGAAATCTAAGTATTCATCTCTATGAGGGTAAATACTCTCCTAATCACTTGACCCCCTCTCCTTAGAGGTCTCCCTGGACTTGTATTTGTGAGAGAAAATGAGGTGTGGCTTGAGCTAACTCCCACACATCATTTGCTGCAGTGCCCCTGAGCTCCCGCTGTCCCTTGTCTGGTATCTCACTGCTGCCTCCACCTTAAAGCCTTCCTCTGCTTCTTACCTCTGCTCCCCCTACCCTGCATTCACTTAAAATGGATTTCCTTGTTTTCTTTTTCCCAACTTTATTTTTCCCCAGACTCTGTTAGCACCATCCAGTTCCCCAGCTGACCATCTTTGTGTTCCCTTTGGTTGTCCATACTGCTACTGCAACTGTCACATCACATGTGATGGTGCTGAATTGCATTTATTTACTTATGTGTGACTTTGCTCTTATGAGACTAAGAGTTCCCGGAGGTGAATTACAGTGTCATATTTGTCTTGTTATCCCCAACACTCTGGCTCTATGCCTATATATGTTTTGAGATATGCTAGAAGGAGTGAAAGTAGGGCAAGTGAGCTGGTGAGTGATGTGGTGGAACAGTCAGCCTCCCCCCACCACTCTGACACACCACCATGCAAGGCAGTCCTGCCTCTCACCTCCCAGTGATTAATGTGTTTGAAGAGTGAGGCTCGCCCCAGGACACAAAGCAGAAATTCACACCAGTCAAAGTGACAAGTGCACTGTCGTACTCATCTGAGGGTCCTGCTTCATCAAATCCACTTCAGAATCAGGAAGACGCTCTTGGCTACCTCCGTACTGCAGGCCATCTGGTCAGGTGGCAAAGCGCCCACTTCCAAGGTCAGTTTCTTACTGTCCTGGACTTTCCAGATTATGCTGCAGAGTAAAACTTCTCTCTAAACTGTCACAGGGAAGTCTTCAGAACCATCAGTAGCCCCTCCCTTATTAACTTTTTTTTTGTTTGTTTGTTTTTTTTAATAGAGGCATGTTTTATTTATTTATTTGTTTGTTTGTTTTGTTTTTGTTTATACATGCACTGGGTACAGTCAGAAGCGCGGGAGGGTGAGAGAATTCACCAGAGCCAGAGCGGGAGCAGAGCAGGCAGAAGGACCGAAGTACACTGCTGAGGGGAGCAGCGGGCGGCAGGAGAGGTCTGCGCGCCATGTGGGACCCTCCTTCGGTGGCCGGGGAGCAGCCAGGGATCGAACCGGCACCGCAGAGGCCGCGGGCAGCTTCGCAACCCAGCGCTCAACCGCTGCGCCACCGGGGAGGCCCCCTTTATTAACTTTTCTACTCTGTAATGGTCATTGTGATATTCTAACAGCCCCTGAGGGCAATGGGATAGTCTGGGAGGAAAAAAAGAAGTAAGACCCACTTCTTCTCTCCCTTTTTCATGAGGAAATTAGCAGTAAAGTGGCCTGTGGCAGGGAAACACTGACCAGCTTTCTGGGATCACAAGAATCTGCCCAGTTGGCTTGGTGGACACTGATCCTAAATCAAAGTATTCATTTCAGGAGTGATAGACATGAACTCTGCCCCACATCTAAATGATGATTCCTTTTGTGTTCAAAATAGATCTTAGCCCCAACAGCAGAACTAGAGATAAGAGGCTGCAGTGTGTATGTGCACATCTTGTTGGTACAGTTTTGGGTTGGCATTTGTCTGAAGGTTCCTCTAAATATCTGGAGACTAATGCTCTAATGATGAAAGGGACCCAGTAGCATAGAGAACACTGAAGATGAACAGTCATAAACAGTTCTTTACAAATGAGGGGAATTATGTGTCAAAATGAAAAGGAGAGCCACACTGCAGAGAGTTCCCAGGGACAAGATGGGAAAGGAAATTGGCTTCCTGTGAAACTGGCACAAATACTCTCGTGCATGGTCAGTGCTTACTGTCAGGTATTTCATCTCCCTGTAGGTAATTCTCTCTGTGTAGATACCTGAAGGGAAATTTGCTGAAACTATAAATAACTAAACAGAGAGCAAATATATTAGAGGATTGTCTGAAAATACATTTCTAACTCTGCCATATTTTCCTATATATTGGGGGATGAAAGAGGAAATAGAAAAGGAGGGGGATAGAAGATTCAACATTAAGGCTACTTTCTCTATAAAGCCCCCCTTAAGCACTGCAATCCACAGCAATCTTTCCTTTTCCCTAAATGCCTATCAGATATCGCTTTTTACTATGCTCTGTACTGACTTGCAGTATTGGATATCAACTCACGATCCAAGAAGTGGTCTCCCCCATTAGCTGCAAGATCCTTGAGGACAGGGTATCTTCTCATTCTTCACACTACAGTGACTGAATATAGCAGATGCTCAAAGTATTTTTTTGTGTAATGCCACCAGCAAATAACCTCAAATTACAAACAGGATTGTGTTAGGCAGTATATAAAATTAAAGAAATAAATATATCTCTGTATAAATATATGTAAATATATTTAATTTAATTTAATTTAAATATATTAATAAATATATTTAAATATAAATATATAAATAAATATATCTCTGTTTTATGTTTGTATTTCACAATTCCTGAGGACAAGTTAGGTGAATGTGTTCAGGCCAGGAGGGCGGAGCTGGGGGAAGCAGGGTAAATGTTTAAATGTGTGGGGTCAATGGAAAAAAAAAATGCCCACATGGGATTTAAATAAACTGGGTTATTCAAAGTTTGCCAAAGCGGTGAAAGATACTTATAGACTTCAGTGAATATAATGAGAGCTGGAAGTCTGGTCTTCGATGCTCATTTCCTGCATTGCGGCTCGCTAACCCACCCTTACCACGGTGGGAATCAGGGGCCACCCCTGAGCTCTCAGGTTGCAAAGAATCCGAGAACGGTTTGCGCTGAGCGGTCACGGCGGCTTGTCACCACCAGGGGGCGCCTGGACGCTCCGCTCCTCCCGGCGCGCGGTCGCTCTCCCAGCATGCCTCGCGCCGCGGACGTCGATCCGGAAGTTGTCGCCGGCGGCCGGCCGGCCGGCAGCCCTACCCCAAACCTGGCTGCTGAGCCCGGTGGCCCCGGCCGCGTTTGCCTGGCCGAGGCTTCCGCGAGGCCGGCGGAAAAGACACCATTGAACTCACTGCCCGCCGGGCTCTGTCTGGGCGCGCCCCTACCCCCGGCGCTGTGCGACCCGCTGCTGTCCCGCCCCAGTCGTCAGCTTCTTGTAAGTGCTTGGCGAGGGGGCCCCTCCCCCAAGGCTCCGACCGTCCTCCTGGGGCCGCGCAGTGGCCTCGACTGAAAAGGTGACCGATTTACCTTGAGCGCAGCGTCTCTGGAAGGGGCTGGAGCGAGTGCGAGCAGCAGAGCTACCTATGTGGCTGGGGGATGTCGAGGGCCCAGAGCCCCTTCCTGGACTCTGAATAGCACCCCAGGTTGCCTCGTCTCCGGGACACACTGAATGCCCCAGACCCTAATTCGGAAGTGAAATAGAGGCTGGCTGTCTAGGGGAGCCACCTGATCCTTTCAGCCATGAAGGCAGAAACACCATCCTCCCTCCCGGAGATCCCAGCTGGGTGCAGCGGTGGCCTCAATAGCCTGCTGAGTAGCCGGAAGCTGGTGGCTGTGGGGGTCCTACTTGGCTGGCTTCTGGTCATCCACTTTCTGGTCAATGTGTGGCTTCTGTGTCTTCTGTCTGCCTTGCTGGTGGTGCTGGGAGGATGGCTAGGACCAAACGCCATTGTGGGGGCTTCAGGTCGACTGCACCTGGAACGCTTTATCCAGATAACCACTTGCCCACCAAATCCCCAGGCAGAGAGGCAACTGGAACAAGAGATCAACTGCACCATCCAGATGATCATGAGGGATTTTGTGTCATCCTGGTACCGCTCAGTGAGCCAGGAACCAGCATTTGAGGAAGAAATGGAGGCTGCCATGAAAGGGTTGGTTCACGACCTCCGGAGGAGAATGAGCCAGGTGGACAGTCATGCTCTTACCCAGAGGGTTCTGACTCTCTGTGGTTGTCACCTGCAGAGCTATATTCATGCAAAGAAAGCCACAGCGGGAAAACAAAGTGAGCCCTCAGTTGAGTCCTGCCAGCTTTGGGAAGCTTATTGCCAGGTTACTGCCCCACATCCTGCAGTACAAAACCCCAGTGCTGAGGTCATCTATACACGAGGCATTGTGGATATATTGCTTCAAGGACTAGTGCCAAAGCCTCACTTAGAGACCCGGACTGGACGCCATGTAGTGGTCGAACTCATTACTTGCAATGTAATCTTACCATTGATCAACAAGCTGTCAGACCCTGACTGGATTCACCTTGTACTTGTGGGCATCTTTTCCAAAGCCAGAAACAATCCAGCAGTAGTTAAACCACTCTGCCTAGCCAGTACCCTGGAAGAGCCCTTAGTGCCCACATCTCTACCACTGGTTGTTGAGGCACAGAATCTGCCAGAGGCAAGAGCCCCTTCCCCAGCAACAGTCCCAGTGTTTCCAAACAGTGATGAACCAGAGGGACCTTCACATCCAGTTGTTGAAGAAAGTCATGACACCGTAGATGGAGATTTGGGTGAAATAAAAGAAAGAAAAATTGCTAACTCATCTCATTTCCTGCAGCCAGATATTCGAGGCCCTCTGTTCTTATGTGAAGACCCAGAGCTGGAGTCTCCACTGTGTGAACTGAGCAAAGAATCCATAATGCTTGTGACCTCAGGCAACTTCCTATCTGACAGAATCCAGGATGCCCTGTGTGCCCTAGAGAATTCTCAGTCTCTAGAATCTAAGGATGGTGAGGGATGTGAAGGAGTTGAAGGAACAGAAGCTGAGGAGGGTCCAGTGACAGAAACAGGCCTACTGGTCTCCATGCTGAATTCCTGCCCTGAGATTCAGGTTGACACGGCAGACAAGGAGGTAGAGCATAGAGATGCTACATCTCTTACAGATTTGCTGGCAAGTCCAGAAACAGCCTGCCCCGCACGACCCTCATGCTTAGAGAAGGATCTCACCAATGGTGTGAGTTCCCTCGATCCTAATCTGCCACAGGTTCTGCTTTCTTCCTCTCCAACCGGTCCTCTCAGCTCAGCCACCTTCAGCTTTGAGCCCCTGAGCAGTCCAGATGGCCCAGTTGTCATCCAGAACCTGCGTATCACTGGCACCATTACTGCTCGAGAACACAGTGGCACTGGATTCCACCCATACACACTCTACACAGTGAAGGTAACAGGATTAGAACTGTGGTCACCTGTTCTGTGCTGGGAATGGGTTTGGAAAACAGCGAAGCAAGTGTTCTGAGAGCCTGCTCTTAGTTTACTATTTAATTCAGCAGGCATCTGTATGTGAACGGTTGAAGCTCATACATAAAGCAGTCATTTTATCTAATATTCTACCAGTATATTTTATCCATTACTCAATCTTAGAATTTTAGGGTGGTTAGGATACTGATGGTCATATTTTCCAGTGGTTCCCAAACCTAGCTGCTCTTCAAAAATCACTTGGACTCCTTTTTATGATAGACTGATAGATTCTAAATGAGAATTCCTAACAGTGGATCCTAACATTCTATTTTTTTTTAATACAAGTCTTCAAGTGACTTGGAGGAAGCCTATCCTAAAGCCAGTTTTACAAAACTGGCTCTTATCAAGCCAACTATCTAATATATGAACCCTCTTCATATCTGCTAAGTGGTTCCCCCATTTTTTTAAAGTGGTGTCTACTTTTGTGCTTAAATATCTCTAGGAATAAGGAACTTGCTGCCTTCTGAGGTATTTAGAGGTAAATAACTCTCCTTCCTAAAACAAAATACAAAAGATGCTACTGTTTAAAAAGAAAGAAGTTAGCGAGGAAGATGTCTGGAAAGAGAATTTCTGCATGAGACTCTATACATTGAATTTTACTTGCCTCCCCCTTGGATTTTTTATTTTGAGTCCGAAAACTGTGATCATGAGCAAACTTTGGTGATGTGCCTTCTATTTTATACTGTCTTTAGGGTTTGAAAAGTAGTTATGTAGACATTTTTATAAGTAAAGAAAGTTTTTGTGGGAGGGAACTTAGAGATGGAAGGAGGAGAGCAAAGCAGTAAAATTATTTTCTAACTTTCTCAGCGATTTATGTTGGGAAATACATCTCTTTTCTTAATCCAGCCATTCTTGGAATTTGAGTTATTCATTACAACGTAAGGCAGCAGTCAGCTGGTAAGGTCAGGAGTAAAATAGGAACATCTCCCTCCCTTTACCTCTACACTGCTCTTACTGTGCGACCGTTGAGCTAATGCAATTAACAAATGTGTTCATTCAACAGTATGAGACAGCCCTCGACAGTGAGCACAGCAGCAGCCTGCAGCAGCTAGCCTACCACACTGTAAATCGCCGCTACCGCGAGTTCCTGAATCTGCAGACCCGTCTGGAGGAGAAATCAGATCTACGGAAGTTCATCAAAAGTCAGGAATTTCCTTTGCCCCACACTGCCTTCTTGCTTTTCACATCTAGCCACCCTGGTTTGGGAGACTGAGGGGCCTATAGGTTTGTGGGGAGGGATGGAGGAGCATCAGAGGTACTGTGCTCCCCCAATTTTTCAGGTGTTTGGGGTTTTAGTATTGGACAGCACTGAGTAATTCTGAGGTACCCCAGTGCCACTGAGTACTTTATTCTGGGATCCTGTCTAGCTTAAGCTTCAGAAAGCTTTCACATTTCCACTGATTCCTGTGAGGTAGTGTGAGGAGTTAAAGTAACTTTTCTAGATTCATAGACTGATTACTCTTAAAAATTAAATTATCCAGAAATACTTGCCACCTTTCTTTAGCCACCGGGGGTGGGGTGTGTGTGTGTGTGTGTGTGCGCGCGCGTGCGTGCTGTTTCACACCTGTAAGGCTCAGAAACAGTGAGAAAATGTAATAAAATTTAATTCTGAAAATAAGCTAGGAAGGAGCTGCTTTGTTTTTAAAAGTGCTGATAATCACCCAAATAAACATTTGAATCAGTCTAGGCCTAAATTATGTATTTTAGTTATGCATTTTCTTAAAATCAACAGCTAATACTGAGCTAATACTCAGCTAAGCTTGAGCATATGTGCCAGGTTTTTTTCTTAGCATTGTACACATAATGGCTCATTTAATTCTCATAACAGCTAATGAGATAGGTACTATCATTAGTTCGATTTTATAGGAAAGAAACAAAGTTAAACAAAGATTATGTAACTTGCCTGAGGTCATTATTATAGTAGGGATTGAATCAAATTATAAACTTGGGCAGTTATACTTCAGATTCATCCATAAGCACTGTACCATACAGCCGCTTATACCTTATATTGTTATTAAATAATGAGAATAGGCTGTGTGATTGGGGTACGTTTGGAACTCCTGAACTATTAAGTCTCAGGGAAATATATTCAACAGTTCTGTTTGCCCTACCTCTACGATGGTTGTTTATATGGAATAGTTCTCAGTAACTATTAATGATTTTTTTTTTTTAAGATGTGAAGGGTCCGAAAAAGCTCTTTCCAGATCTTCCATTTGGAAACATGGATAATGACAGAGTAGAAGCACGTAAGAGCCTCCTGGAATCATTCCTAAAGGTTAGAGTTGTGATTTGACTCTGCGTTCATTCTAATCACTAAACATCCAAGCTGAGTAGAGAGATCTGGGGACTGGAATTTATCTTTGAAGTCCTTCTTATATCTTTTGCAGCAACTCTGTGCCATTCCGGAGATTGCAAATAGTGAAGAGGTGCAGGAGTTCCTTGCTTTGAACACAGATGCTCGTATTGCCTTTGTCAAGAAGCCATTCATGGTCTCCAGAATAGACAAGGTACAGCAGGGCCTTGTGCTCAATTTTAGTTTTTCATCAAAATGGAGGTGGTGCTTCAAAAATAGGGAAGGTGGTGTGTAGGGAGAGATAGCACAGAGGAATCAATAGAATATGGACTGGAATTTTCAAGATCTCTTGCTAAATATTGGTTGGACCACCAACTTGCTGAATTATAGTAAGCAGCTATGAGGACACTCTATAAATGGACATATATATATCCTGGGACTATTAAGACATTGTTATTCTAGAAAATGATGTAATGACAGATCTTACCTCCAGAGATAGGTAGGGACACACAGGTCTCTCCTGGAAGTGAAGGTCACTCTCAGCACTGGTCACTCAGAAGGAGGGCCCAGACAGAACACTAAGCTGAGTTGTACCCTCTAGAATCTCCAGGGCAGGAGTCCAAGGTTTATGTTTATCAGAAGATGGCATATGTTTGAAAAGGTTAGAAAACACTGACTCATAGATAAAAGAGGGGTGTCCCTCTTCTCATAGATTTCAGAGATAAAATGATAAAGTGGAGTTTCATGTGGTAGGAGTAAGGAGACATACATACTATGAGGAAAAAACTGCAACCTAGAAAAGAATGCCTTTAGAAAATCCCCAGAGTTCCATGCAAATGTGTTTATCCATGCAGGTGTATTCACTCATTGATTCAACATCAACTTATTAGATGCTTGTTTAAATCCATGTAGTATACTGTTGCTGGTGAAATCAGCAGATAAGGACCCCCCACAGTCTACAATTTTGTGAAACTTGAGAGCAGGTTGTATTTTCTAAGCAAATATCTGCATTCATGCTATCCTCAAGTTCTTTCCCTGGTTTATTATCCCTCATTCTTACTGTAGTCTTTGTGGACCATTTCAGCTTTTTCTTAGCTTTGCTGGCTGTGCTTGTAGAGGAGAACACAAGAATGACTAAAGAAGGCAGGGTACTGGGCTCTACTTTGAGCCAGCAGTGATTATTAGGAAAAGAAACCAGAGGGAAAGTATATGTCTTCTCCTGATTCTTTGATATCTTAGGATTTTATTTGTTTGTACATTTTCCTTTCCAACAAATATCTATTGGACATATTCCCATTTTGAAAATTAGTGATAATTCTTACTCTTCAGTGAGGGTTGTTTTATGTGGTCTTTATGAGTTTATAACAACTCCAGTTTCCTTAAATTTGGCTTGTGTGGTTTTTGCTATTGCTGTATTGATGAAGAAAAATTGTTTGAAATACCAGAACAACAAATTACTCTGAACATGTTTACATTATATATTACTTAGACTATATTTCTCATTTTGATAATCATCACTCTCTTTTCTCTATATATTTCTATATTACCTATTCTTGGTGAAAGTATTATCTATTCTATATTACCGTCATCTTGGTGAAAGTATTATCAATTTCGAAAGTAAAGATCATTCTTTTATCTAAGAAGAATGAAATTGAAAATGGAAGTATTTCATCAGCTTGCAGAACTCCCATATTTCTACTTATCTCATTGTCGTCTTTCCCCATGGCACTGTGTGTCCTAATTCTGTGAGGAGGGAGATTTTTGTGGCCATAGAGAAAGAGGATCAGTGCCACTAAGTCATTAACTAGTATCTATCCTGGTAAGATTCTGCCTAGATAGTCTGGCTGTCTACTCGTCTTGACTACATAAAGCACTGAGACAGCTTCTCATTAGGTGGTTTCTGTCTGACCCTATATCTCTGACCCCTGCAGATGGTGGTGAGTGCTATTGTGGACACCTTGAAGACAGCATTTCCTCGCTCTGAACCCCAGAGCCCCACAGAGGAGCTGAGTGAGGCGGAGACAGAAAGCAAGCCCCAGACTGAAGGCAAGAAGGCTAGCAAGTGAGAAGCCATTCAGTCACCCAGGGACCCTTCCCAATTCTCAGGTTGATCCCTAATCCTCAGCTGATGCCCATCCTTAGTTTCAAGCCCTAGAAGAAAGAAAGATGGGTCATACACACCAGTTTTTTTGTTTGTTTGTTTGTTTGTTTGTTTTAAGATTTATTTATTTATTTATTTATACAAGCACTGGGTACAGTCAGAAGCGCGGGAGGGTGAGAGAATTCACCAGAGCCAGAGCAGGGATCAGAGCAGGCAGAAGGACCTAAGCACACTGCTGAGGGGAGCAGCGGGTGGCAGGAGAGGTCTGCGCACCATGCTGGACCCTCCTCCGGTGGCCGGGGAGCAGCCGGGGATCAAACCGGCGCTGCAGAGGCCACGGGCAGCTTTGCAACCCAGCACTCAACCACTGCGCCACCGGGGAGGCCCATACATACCAGTTTTTATGCAAAGTCAGACCACATACTCAGTGTTCCACCCAAAGATCCTGAAATTCTGCATAGGCAGCCCTGATGAATGTTTGCTTTTGTCATGGGACCTGAGGCTCAAACTGACCAGGGAATTTTGACTGGGAGGAAAATTTTGGAATATGGAGAGTCTCATTTTCTTTTTTCCTGGAAAATCGAGATATTTCTTTACTGTTAAGACTTAAATCTTATGACTTATTTTTGGTTGCCATCATTTCTGGAAATCTTGACTCAGAAGTAGCATATATTAGCAGTAAATATGAAAGGGCTAGTACGGATCCCTGTAGGGCGTATATCAGTAACTGGTTACTAAACTAGATCCTCCATTAGGATCCTAGAAGTAGCTTTCAAAGCCAACACATGGAGGGAGAGGAAACCATATTTACCCTTCCTGGAAACTTCATCTGTATCTGGGCTGTTAGGAAGACAGACTATAAGCAGGAGCGACTGTGTGTGTGTGAAAGTCTATCTAGATGACTGGCTGTTTCTGTCTCCGTGTTTGCTTCATGGGCTAGCAATAACAGACTCACAGTTCTTAGTCTTTTTATTTCCAGGGTGCATATTTTGAAGGATGATCATGATGCCTTTGTTTAGTAGAACCATATTCCTTGAAACACTGAAGTTAGCACTTGCAGCCCCTTCCCTGCATTTATTTAGAATATTAGGGGAATAAATGGATGTGCAAAAAGGGTACCACCATCAACTTCAGAAAATCCTGTTCTATTTAATCTTCAGCAGATTTGTAATGAGTGCGAGGTATGTGCTAGCTACTCCTCTAGCCTATAGAGAGAGAACCACAACACACTGGTCCTTATTTTACATTAGCAACTGTCCTTTTGCAGATGCATTCTAGAGATCACTTAGTGCAGGAATTGTACTGTATGTTAAGAGTTGCCAGAATATTTATTGTTAGAGTGGTTTCAGAACCAGGTCTCTCCTAACAGCTTTGACCATTGTAAGCTCCCATAAATCAGTGTGAATGTTGTTATTTTAAGATATTAATACTGGTTAGTTCTTTATGTCGGAATCCAGACTATGAATTACATTTTGTTTCTGCTCTTGTTTCTATACCAGGTCCAGATTGAGGTTTTCATCCAGTAAAATTGCTCCAGCACTAAGTATGACTGACACACATGAAAAGATTCTCTATTGTCTCCAGGATGGCAGTGTGGTAAGACACTCCTAGAATTGATAAGTGGGATATTGATCCTGCAGTTAAAGGCCATTGAGACATCTTCCAATCAGAAAGGACATAGGTGCCTTGCGAAAGGACTTATCCAATACCTAGATCTCCAATTTTTACTCTAATGTATTTTGGTGGTTAGGAATTCCTACTAGTTTTGGGTGGGTAGTTTTGGGTTAGGTTTGGATAATGGAAGACAGAATGAGAAATTCCTGGAAAAGAACAGATGACTCAAAAGTATTTAAAGCAAGTGCGAATCCAAAAGCATTGCTTACTTATAGTGCATGTGAAAAATAATAATAATAATAGAATTTTCCTAAGGCTGTCATAGAGATAGTAGGAATAAATGGGGAAAGCCAGTCATGAATCATTTGCTCTCCTACTTACTGCATTCTTTATGTGATACACCACTGACTCTTCCTGCAGGAGTCAGAGGTCCTGTCCATGTCTGGGATGGAATCCTTTCTTGAAAAACAGTCAAAGTTACTAGGAGTGCAGCCAGAAGATACCCCAGAAAAAGTTCCTCTACAGATTCCCAAAGACAGTGTGGATGGTTACTTACCAGATACAGCTGTGCTAGCCCAACGTTGCAGCAGTGGTGATCTAGGTAAGTGACAAGACCTTGGCTCCCTCAGAGAAGGGAGCTAGGGTACCATCTATTTGGGATTTGTGATGGTTGGGATTCAACACATTAATTTCTCTTCCATTCAACTCAACAAGTCATGTGTCAAATATCAGTGCCTGAGTTACTGTGCTGACTGCTGAGATACAAAGAATATGACACAGTCTCCAGAGCTGAATCATGCAGAAAAGTAGGGCACAAAAACAAGGAGTTAAAACACAGCAAGATAAGATCCATGCTTATGATATCGTCCCCTGTAAATTATTTTGACATGTTTTGGCATATCTTTGGACTATTTGCTTTATCTCGAAACTTCTTCCAATAGTAACTGTGGTACCACTTTCCTGGTTTTCTTTCTGTACCTCTTATGGTCCCTTCTCAGTCCCCTGTTGACTCCCTACACTAACCTTCTAGAGGATTATTTTGGGCTCTGTTCTTCTGCACACACTCTGGGTGATCTCATCTATGCTCTAACACGTGTTGTTGGTGGTCTGGATATTACCATATTTACTGAGCTAGAGTTTATATAAGGATAAAGTTTTTATTTTAAAGTTTTGTTTTGTTTTTAAGAAGTGGGTACAGGCCAGCGTCGCGGTCGGCAGGGAGCGGAGGTGAGACGATTCCCCAGAGAGTGTGGGGAGCATAACAGGCAGATGTACCGAAATACACTGCTGAGGGGAGCAGCGGGTGAGACAGGAGAGGTCTGCCGCACCATGTGGGTTGCTCCCTGGCCGGCTGGGGATCGAACTCACACCGCAAAGGCCAGGCCGCGGACTGCCTCACAGCACTGTGCTCAACCCCCTGCACCACCAGGGAGGCCCAAAGATAAAGTTTTTATAGGAAGAAAGGATTTTTTTTTAATTCTACTAAGAAAAGACCCCACTGATTAAAAATAAAGGATCAAAATAGCTTGATGTCAGAAGGGGGGTGAAGTATGATTTCACTGTTGTTTCTCACATGGACCTTAATTTAAATATGTGAAAAATGGAATTCACAGCCCCATCTCTTCACAGGTATCACACTGGTTAAGTAAGGGAAGCATGAAGACAGTGAATGCATCAGAAGTATAAGGAATTACAAGTTAGATGGAACGAGGAAACAATGTAATTGTATCTAAAAATCAAGCCTATAAATTTGAACATTATATCTCTGAAAGGATAGTTTATAGCTGAGCCCTTCTTCTAATTCTAATCAATAGAAAATTAACCATTTTCTTCAAGGGGACTTAGTACTTTCTTATTTTTCATTGCTGTGACAACACCATTTATCTAGCAGCTCTAGGTAAATGCTAAACCTGGCAAAATACAGTAGTCCTGCTTTATCTGAGGTGGATGCATTCCAAGCCCACCAGTAGTTGCCTGAAATCACAAGTGGCACCAAACTCTATAATACTGCTTTTTCCAGTGCATACATACCTATGATAAAGTTAATTTGTAAATTAGACACAGGTAGAGGCGCAGGTAGAGACTAGCAAAAATAAACGATAAGGGCCTCCCTGGTGGCGCAAGGGGTTAAGCACTGCACTATGAAACAATCCGCAGCCTCTGTGGCACGAGTTCGATCCCCGGCTGGCCAGGAAGCAACCCATATGGTGCAGCAGACCTCTCCTGTCTCACCCGCTGCTCCCCTCAGCAATGTTTTTCAGTCAGTCTGCCCATTCTGTTCCCCACTCTGTCTCTGGTGAATCCTCTCAACCCCGCATCTCTGGCCTGTACCCCAGCTCTTGCATATATAAATTAATAAAACTTTTATAGAAATAAATAAATAATAAAATGGAACAATTCTAACAATATACTGTAATAATAAAAGTTATTTGAATATGGTTTCTGTAATATTTTCATACCATGGTTGACCCCAGGTAATAAACCACACAGCAGAACACCAAGTAAGCAAGGGGACTACTATAATAGAATTGAGCATGACAGAGTACATTTTTTCAGCCTATAACTTGCCTAAGTCTGCTGCCCACAACATTTCTGTGTTATTATGTGGAGGCAAGTGGAATATAAGCATGGAGTAGAATTAAGAGCAAAAGAGACTGGGCCTTGACAGTTCCAGAAAGTCACCAGCTGTAACGACTTACTTGAATTTTGTTTCAGCACCCAGAGGAAATATAAAAGAAACAGAATCTAGGTTGTTATATGCAAGATAATTATATACAAGATCTTTTTTAAAGATGAAAAGATTTACTAAGTGACTAAGGAACATAAAAGAATTATAAAGAAATACAGTCTATAACTGAAATTTTTAAATGTGAAATATCTTTTGATTTGAGTACAGAAGAGTTAAAAAACTATAAAGTGATATAAAGGTGGAGAAGACCCAGTGCCATTGAAATCTGTTCCTTGAGTATCGGTCTTCTCAGTTTCTTTTGATGCCACTTCATTCCCTAGGTACAGAGACAGAGTTAGCCGACACAGTCCTGGATTTACTCCTCTTGCTGCTAATGGAACAGTGGAGATGGCTTTGTACAGAAAATATGCAGAAAGTTCTTCATCTTATCTTTGGTACCCTAATTCAGAGGTAAGACAACAGAACTCTCCTTCATATTAGAGTCTCAGATTGGACAGGAATGTAATGCTGAATTTTCCAATAGAAAGTGTAGAGTCCAGGGAATCTGTGGCCAGAGGGGAAAATAGAATCTCTGTTACCAGAATATGAGGATAAGGACTAATTGGAATCTATCACATAGTTTTTATTACTCACCTGCTGTCTAAAGTTTGAGTGGGTCTACTTCTTTAAGATTTCTAGCAGAGCCCTGAATTATAGACACTGCCTGTGATCTTAAAACACTGTAGCTGAGCTCTTCCTAAAACCAGGGTCAATTCGCTATCCAGTTATATCCCCAACCTTTGTACCTTCCACCTTGTCACAGTGCACATTTCTCTTAACTGACAATATATGGTCACTATGACAGTAGTGAAAAAGACAAGAGAATGCATGTGTTCTCAAAATAAAGATTGTTTTCTCTGAAAGAGTTGAAAGTATTCACAACTAAAAAGGTACTTGCTGACGCTCAGGATTATATGGAATAGAAGGATACTTTGATTTAATATGGACATTATATCCAAGGATACTTCGATATTATTGTTAGGCCTTGTGATCTTAGCACTGCTGGACTCTTCTGAAAGATTTGTATATAGGTGGAGATTTTAACTGTTGAATTACTAACCATGAAACTGATACAAGTTTCACTATACTGAAGAGGACCAGAGACACTGTCTCTGAACCAGACAGACACACTTAGTAGCTAACAAGTCACTTCAAAACTAATATCTTTAAAAAAAAAAAATAATTATGTATCTACCATGTAATAGAAAATTCATCGATGACAGCAGTTAAATGGCCTTCCACACATAGTTACATAGGACAGGGAGGCATAATAAGCTTTTTTAAAATAGAAGTCAAGAAGCCTTGGATATCTGGAGAAAGAATCGCATTCCCCCTCTGGTGTCACCAAGGATCTAATAACGTCTTCACCCATGTGAGTAATATACACAGAAAGGATATCATTCAGGACTCAGAGTGTAGGCATGAATCTCATCAGTTTCAGGATATTTTCTATTAAGCAAACATTTGGGCGTCCCTTTATTCAGACATTGTGCTGTGGACTAAAGCACATTGTATCATGTACGTTCCTCAGAAGCCCCGTGAAAAAGGTATTATGATCCCTATTTCAAAAATAAGGAAACTAAAGTATACATAGAAGTATGGTTATTTAATCAAGATTACAGCTACTAAGTACCACAGGTAGAATTTGAAGCCAAATTTGTGTGCTCTTTAGCTGCAGTAACTCTCTAGCTCTCAGGATCAGACCTTTCGCCCATGATTTGGAGAGATAAAAGCCAACCCAGAGAAGTATACATTCCCCAGAGCCTGTAAATCCAAGCAGCATCTCCATGTACCACACTCATGTGTAGTACAGAGGGCACTGTTAGCCTGTGGTACTGTCCCTGGAGAGCCTGCATGTTTTATTTTTAAAAAAGAGGTTCATGCAGTGCTACATTCTTTGGCTTTATTTGCTTACCAAAGCAAATTTGGAATTTGATCTCTCTCCAGTGCTGCATCACCTCCCCCTCCACTACCACCACTGCCCTCACAAGAGGCAGTCCAACTCCGTGTTCACCTCTCCAAGATTGTCCCCATGACCATTGCCCAGGAAACAGCATATTTGTTCTTTCTCTCTGAAACCACAATTATCTGAGCTGTATCCTTGTTCAGAGTACTTGGCTTCTCTTTAAGTCCTGCACTTTAAAGAGAAGGTTAGTTGGTATCGATGCCTTGGGTAGCTACTGCCACTTAATCTAGTTAACTTGAACACGCTGCATTTGCTTATCAGGGATGCTATAACGATCTAGATTTAGATGCACCTCCTCAAAATGTCATCATTTTCCAACCTCCAGGATTATTATTTCCAAGAAAATAAGTTTAATTTCTTCCACTTCCAGATTTTTTTACTCTCTCTACTCCCTTACAAGACTATATACATAGCTGTCCTAGAGACTGGGGACCTCTGCCGAATCATAAGCCTGTGCTCTCCTGCTCTTTGTCTCTCTCTCTCTCTGGCCTGCAAGAAAAAAAAAGAAGAGAGTAAATTCAACCTCATAACCCCTCCTGCTAAGCCAAGGTTGGGAAGGTTCTGATCTCAGCCAGGCTTTATAAATCTCCCTTGATTGTTGATGGTGTAGAGAGAATGTGGGAGAGCAGCTGAAGAGCAGTTAGATGCCCAAAAAAGGCATTGTTAAGTCAAAGGGGAGTCTTGCACGCATGGCACCTGACCGCATATGTCAGCCTCTGTGCTGGGAACATCCAATTATGTAAGGAGCATTCCTTGTTTGGAATTAGACACATAGAAGGGGGAAGAAGGGGTGGGGTAGCAGTATAAGCCAAGGACTGAAACCAGCTTGTGCAAACTGCTTATGTCCGAATACAGAAGAAACTTTACAACATCCCTGGATGCATCAGAATCAAGTTAAGGATAGTCTGGTTGGAGGGAAAGAGGAGACAGCTCCTGTGTTCCACTGATGATAGAAGGTTTGAGGCAGGAAGAGCCAGCCAAGGTAAGGGATGATGTTATTATGGAGTCCTGATCTAGAGTGGAGAAATGAGAAGAAGCTGGACCAGTTCCCTGCCTGGATGCCCAGAGCAATGATAAAAATATGAGCCAGGCTAGCAGTAGAGTACATGAATACCTCATCCTGTGGCTCTGCCCTCCCCGTGACCCAAAAGATGGCATCAGACTCCATGTCAAAAGAGTAGCAGACACATTCCTGGCATCTGTGTAAGGATGTCTTAGTTGGGTGGTGGGGGAAGGACAAATGGGAATAGTGTGGTAAAAAGAATAAGGAAAAAAAAGGGGGAAGTTCTGTGATCTGTGGACAGTGGAGAGTATGTGAGGTGAGGAGGTGTATCGAGAAAGGAGAAAATATGTCAGGTTTAAGGAGCCCAACCGTTGGTGGACCCAGCAGAAAATCAAATGTCTAGCTTTAGACCTTACACCAGGTTATGGAATCATTTTCCTAGAAAAGAGGTCTCTACAGACCATCTTTCAGGAAAGGTTGCGAAGCTTGAGGACAAAGTTTGGGACCACTGCAGAGAGTGTGCTGTAAGGTGGGAATGCTCACCCTCCATAATGACAGTTGTGAATGGATGACCATGAGTTCTTTTGTCTCCACTGCATAGGTCGCACCCAAACTTTAGATGTTTTCTCTACTGACTATGCCAGATTAGCAGCTGTGTACTTTATATGCTAATAAACAAAGCAATTCTCTGAGACAAGCATACGTTTCCACATTTTACAAGTGAGGAACATGGTATTCAGATTAAATAATCTTCCCAAATTATTTAAGTATAAATGTCATACCCCTGATTCTACTTTTGTCATCCTGACCTCAGAGTTCATGCACTTTCTACTACTCCACACTGCCTCCCCACTGTGCAGACTTTCTCCAAAGCAGTGGCCACTAGAATTCACTTCATTTGGAAGTCCTATGCTTAGCCCCATGTAATGCCTCTTCCTTTCTATCTGATTGGCCCCAGGGCTACCTGCATATGACAGTAGCATATAAACTCATTTCTATCTGATTTTATTCTTTTTTTTTTTTTTTTTTTTTATTTATTTGTTTGTTTCTTTGTTTATACATGCACTGGGTACAGTCAGAAGCGCGGGAGGGTGAGAGAATTCACCAGAGCCAGAGCAGGGAGCAGAGCAGGCAGAAGAACCAAAGTACACTGCTGAGGGGAGCAGCGGGCGGCAGGAGAGGTCTGCGCGCCATGTGGGACCCTCCTCTGGTGGCCGGGGAGCAGCCGGGGATCGAACCGGCGCCGCAGAGGTCGCCGGCAGCTTCGCAACCCAGCGCTCAACCGCTGCGCCACCGGGGAGGCCCTGATTTTATTCTTAAAGCACTCTTGGATCAGAGATTGTATCATCTTCCTTAGGTATTTCTATTCTACATTGTGTTCCCAATTAGAAAATTTTCAATTACGATTGTTTTTCAGAAAACATACATGACAGGGTTTTTTTTGGCCCCTTATACTTTCAGTTCTGCTCTGGTGTCTTATGGTATCTTACACCTGACTTCTTTCTCTACCCAGCATCTGTACAAAAAATACATGCTGATAAGATCACCACATACAAAATTGTCCCAAACTAGGTCTTTGATTTTTCCTGTCTGGTTATTTGCTAGCCCTCTTAATTATTGACTGTAGAGGTGCTAAAATTAATTTTTGTGGCAGTGGCTTTGTTCAGGTTGTATTGCACTTCCTTGGAGGTAAAGAATGCCTCTTTCTCCTTGACAAGGGGAAGCTCTTGACTTTAGTAAGCCAGGCCAGGATTGGCCCTGACAGTCTCTCCTATTATATGGAGGCTTCCCTGTTATATTCCTTAGGTGTCATTTATTATACACCCATCTTAGGATAAAGACGTCATGCTTTTCCTATCATGAGCTGAGAATTTGTCCTTGAATAATGAAGGACTATCACCTGCCATTGCAATTCAGCCAGTCCCTCTGCTTTCCACTGAGAATTTCACGGGGTCCCCAGCAATTCTAGGGGACCAGAGACATAAATGTAAACTGAATCTTACATTCTTCCCACACTGCCCTTTAATTGGACACACACCAATTTCCAGAGCCATGTTAGACCAGAGCAATGAGGCTTTTCCTTTGGACTCTTCAGGCAGTCCCCCTGTCTAGTGGCACTCTCCTGCAGTGTCCTCTGTAAGCATGGGCCTTCCATGGTGAGCCCCCATGCAGCAAGCTTGCCCTCCCTGGACACACTTTTTCAGCCTTTTTCCTTGCACATGGGGAAGTAAGAATATGGACCTTGAAGTTAGATCAAATTCAAATCCTGTTTCAGGCTTTCTGTGTGACAAGTCACTTACCCTCTCTATGCCTCAGTTATTCTCCAAATGGGAGTTAATAATGCCTAGCTCGTGAGGTTGAGTGGAGAATAAGAGATAATAAATGAAAACCTCTTAATGCATGCCTGACACATGGTAGCACTCAATAAATGTGCATTCTGATCCACCTTTACAAGCTGCACCTTTACACCTTTACATGTTCCATTTCCTTGGGGACTCTTATTTGCTAGAGAAGAAACACATCTATTTGATGTCAGGTAGATAACATGTCTGATAGACCTCTTTGAAAGGTCTTTATAGCGAGCTTGCTTAGTGATCTTTTTAATAGCAAATACTCTACATCGTTGAAATAGAACCTCCTCCTTTATACTGTCTACCCACCCACCATTCTACCGATTCACTCGAGGTCAAGTATCACTTAATGGAGGGCCACATTCTGAGCAATGCGTTATCATGTAATTCAGTTATTGAGTGAATGTCATGGGGCGCAGTTACACAAATCTGGATGGTGTAATCTACTGCACACCCTGACTGTATGGGACAGCCTGTTGGGGCCACCATCCTCTGTGCAGTCCATCACTGACCAAAACATGGTTCAGCCACAGGGCTGTGCTTATTCACAAGCTCCCCACTCATATTAGAGCAAAACAGAATTTCTTTGGAACCAGGGAACTAGCCTTGACCCAGGTACTCCCAACCCTCTTGCTTTGCTTTCTGGCAAACTAACTTTAGTTTATGTTACCATAACTGCATTACAAATAATTTTTTAAAAGTCTGTGTGAGATTTGATGCCTGTTTGTACTTAAGCACGTTCTGTGTGCTAGTGAGTGTAGTACTGTTTCTATTTTTAGTAGAAAATAGTACTGTTTCTGCTTAAGAGGAGAGATTATAAGAATTGAGTAGAAATACTGAAAAATGTGAGATTAAATGATGTGGTATAGGCCATAAACACAGTTAAAAAAATAAAAGATTCTTGAGCAGGGCGAATGTTAGGTAGACTTTATAGAAGAAAGTATTTAAAACCAGACTTTTTAAGATAGGTATAATTTAGACTGATTCAGGGTAAAGAATTGTCCAGGCATTGAAACATTTTTTTTTTTAATTCCCCATATAATTGCAGCTCCCTTATTTTGACCCCAATCCCTCCTTCCCCACCCCCCATAGTGTGTCTCTGGTTCATAGTTGTTTGTTGACTTTGATTTTTTTCTTTCTTATAGATATTCTTTTTCCTGGTCCCTTATTTAGGTTTTCTAGATTCCTGCTGAGTGAGACCATCCGGTATTTTTCTTTTTCTTTCTGGCTTATTTTGCTGAGCATAATCCCTTCCAGCTCCATCCATGTTGCTGCAAATTGCATGTGTTTATCTTTTTTGATTGCTGAGTAATATTCCATTGTGTATATGTACCACATCTTCTTGATCCAGTCATCTATTTTTAAGCATTTGTGTTGTTTCCATAGCTTAGCTGTTGTAAATAGTGCTGCTATAAACATAGGGGTGCAGATGCTCTTTGGAATTAATGTTTCTGTGTCCTTTGGGTAAATACCTAGGAGTGGAATTGCTGGATCATATGGAAGCTCTATCTTTAGTAGGTTGAGGAATCGCCACACAGCTTTCCATAGTGGTTGGACCGGTTTGCACTCCCACCTGCTGAAACATTTTTAAAGTGGACAAGAGAGGCTTTAATTTTTACTTTCATATAAAAAGGAATCTTTAAACATTTTTTAATATTTTCACCTAGCCCCTTTTGGAATGTGTGTGTATACATAGAAGGGAAAGATCCTTTTGTTGTGTTAAATTATGGAAAGCCCAACCAGGCTATCACCATGTGGGAAAGTTAGGACAGGAGTTTTCCCTCTGGGCACCAGGTGGCGCTGCAGGTTAGACAATACCCATTCACCTTCCTTGTCAGAAGACTTTATCTTGGTGATTGTAATCAAAACCATTTGCTGCCTTGCTTGCTGCTGGTGATTCAGAGGCTGCTAAACTTTCCTTGTCTTAGTGTTACAGACTTTTAGACAAGCCTGGTTTCTTTCGTCTTTCACTCTTTTCTGTTCTGATTCATCTTCAGGGTACACTTGTTTCTCTGAGCTGTGTGTATTGCTCCTTGAAGATTCAGTGCTGGAGATGATTCGTTGAAAACAGTTTTGATTCAGGAAGCCGGCATGAACAAGAGGGCCCACAGTAATGAAACCAGATGGAGAGCTAAAGTTGAAAAATTTTGTCAGACTATAGGCTAGTTGGTTCAGTACTCAAGGCCTTTTTACATACCAAAGTTCTAGATAAACATTTTAGTAACATAGAGGTTGTCAATGCTAGATTTGTACTGATACTGGGAATCTTATCAATGTATTATATATCAAGGGCATTCCTATTGCTTTTACCCCTGGATGTGAGATCATTGGCTCATATTAGCTTGGAGATGTGGCAACATTTTAATGCCCTCAGTTTTGATTTTACCTGTTTTTAGACATAGGTATCACCAAGTGCATGTAGGATAGCCCTATTGGAACAGGGAACTGGAGCAGGGCAGGAGTTGGGGTGAATTGGTGAGAAAAATACTTTTGTCTGGCACTGATGTAATTATAGCACCCAAGGTTTTCTTGGGGGAATTTAGCTCTCCCCTAATAAATCTATAACCTTTGTGAACACAATATGCTCACTATGTAAATGGAGCTTCAAGATAAGTCCCTCAACCACCTCCTCTCTCCCCCTTGTTTTCTAACCATGGGTGGTGCCCCCAGAGTCCCTCTATATAGAGATCTGGAGTTGTCACTGCACTGTCCTGTATCCTTGGTATCAGGATAGGCAGCCTTCTGTTTGGAAAGGGTTTTAAATTCAGCCTTAAACAGGAGACTGAAAACAATTACCTTCCACCAGGTCTTCTACCCTAAGGTGACTTTGTCAGTTATAGTCACTTTTCTTTCTTTCTCATGCTCTTCCCAGTGTCTTTCCTGCTTAACTTCAACATGTACATAATTATCCCTTGTTTGATTCATCTTGTCTTTTCCAACTTCCTCTATCCATTTTCACAACATAGCTTGGAACCCTAACATGTTTGCTTATTTGTATACCATCTCTGATTCTCTTCCAAATCATGACTGAGCATTCTTTTAAAGCTGTGATCGCTAATATTTGTAGGCGATAGAGAGACTGCCACATCTAAGTAGAGCTCATTCTTAGTACCTCTCCCTCCTCGAGTTCTCCCTCCTACAGAGGCAGTTTTGGCCCAGAGCGGAGCCAGGAGATCTCCCTGTGAGATAACTTCACCTTAAACTGCAGGGGTTCTGGTTGTCTAAACAGACCCTCTATCCCTACCTTCTGCCCTCTTTGTGTCTTGCCTTCCTTCCCAGGTCACACGATCAGGGAAAGAGAGACATTATGGATCATTCAGTCTCTACAGTGAAAGTTTCATTGGTTAGTTTTTATAGCGGTCTAGCTTTAAGAAGGATTCTTAAATGTTACCTTCAAATTACCCATAGCCCCATGGGCCCTTCCCCAATCTAGTTCTTAAACATTCTATATAAAAATGGTTTCCTCTTTTAATACTTATTTCCCTGAGTCTGTCAGGAGAGTGAGGCTTACAAAAGAGAAACTGAGGCATGAAGTGCAGAACTTGCTCAGTAGACTGAGGGAGCTGCTGGTTGTAAGAAAGATATCTTGAAATACCAGATGGTCTCACTCATAACAGGAATCTAGAAAACTTAAATAAGGGACCAGGAAAAAGAGTAACTATAAGAAAGAAAATATCAAAATCAACAAATAACTATGAACAAGAGACACTCTATGGGGGGTGGGGAGTGGGGAAAGGAGGGCTTGGGGTAAAAATAAGGGGGTTGTAATTATATGGGGAATATAAAAATAAAAATTTAAATTAAAAAAAAAAAGATATCTTACTTTTACTTGGATCAAGCAAATAGCAGGCAGATACCCAAAGAGCATGACTTTGATTTTGCCTATATCTAAATTCTATCAGTCCTCATTTTTCAGAGTTGGATTGCGCTGCAATGATAGCAACATGGTATGGGGCTGAGAAAAGTTAATATGAAGGTCTTCTGAGATGCTCTAGATTTGCATCATAAGCTTTCAAGCTGGAATCCTAAGGGTGTCACATTTCTCAAATCTAGGACAAACTTCCAGAGCACTCCCTTTGTTGTAGCCTCATTCCATGCACACAGAGCCCTCAAGTGTTTCCCTCTCATCCTGTCTTTGTTAGTAAGGTAGTCTGTTATTTTAGTCATGTTTTACAGACACCCCGCTGCCTTCTTTTCTTCTTACTAGTTTCAAGTAATGGGTTGGCATCAATTTGATGTCGCTCTATCCATCAGGGGCATGTTTGAAAACACAAATGTGACTCAGAGGCCTCATAACCCCTTTGCTTTTGTTTGACCTTCAGTCTCTTCTAGCCTCTGATCCTGTTTGCCAGGAAAACTGACAAAAATGTAGTCTGCTGGCAGCTGTCTCTCTTCTCTAGGATTGACAGAACATGCCGGATACCAGACATGGCTCACCCACTCTGCTGCCCTCCACCTCTAACCAGGTGTGAACAATTCACAGTGAATTCTTTTTTTTTTTTTTTTTTTAAATCTTTTTTTTTTTTTTTTTTTTATAGAGGCATGTTTATTTATTTATTTATTTTGTTTGTTTGTTTTGTTTATACATGCACTGGGTACAGTCAGAAGCGCGGGAGGGTGAGAGAATTCACCAGAGCCAGAGCGGGGAGCAGAGCAGGCAGAAGGACCGAAGTACACTGCTGAGGGGAGCAGCGGGCGGCAGGAGAGGTCTGCGCGCCATGTGGGATTCTCCGCCGGTGGCCGGGGAGCAGCCGGGGATCGAACCGGCGCCGCAGAGGCCGCGGGCAGCTTCGCAACCCAGCGCTCAACCGCTGCGCCACCGGGGAGGCCCCACAGTGAATTCTTAATTGACTTACCGCCCAGTACACTTCGTGAGGCATCCACACTGCAGCTGGGGTGTTGGCACAATTTAATTTTAATATTAGTGTAAACAAAAGATTATTAAAAAACTAAATCTGCCAGATATTTTATATGCCTATAAAATGTCAAATACAGCAGGTTTCTAGGTTGCCTACTATTTAATATATTATGTCCGCTGCCATAAGCATAAATAATTAAGAGCTTACTGTTCTTTTGCTGCTTAAATATTGGTAAGTTTGCCTTCTGCAAAGCTTGAGCTGTTAACTGTGTTTTATGAGCAGCATTAATTCACTTAGTAACTACTGTTTATTGGTTACCTACTCTGTCAGACACCATTCTGTCAGATAGCAATAAGTGACCAAAACACAAAGACCCCAAATTCCTACTCAAGGAAGTCTAATATCCAGTTGGTAGTGCTGTCCTATAAATAAGGATTTTATAAAATTAGGATTTTAAAAAGAACTTTACATGTGATTCATACTAACCAGTTATGAGGCATCCAGGGAGGAGAAAATAACCTCTGAGATAGGACTTAAGGCATGAGAGGAAATGGACAGTACACATTGGAGAACAGAGCATTGAAGCAGAACAGTAAAACAATGTGGCATATTTGTGGTACTCAAAGAAGTCAGGTGTGATTAGGAATATATGATGTGCAGGAATGGTGGCCAGAGTTAATTAGGTGACAACTTATGCAGAGCCCTTGACCCACTCATAGAAAGTTGAGTTTGTCTCCTGTTTGGTGGGAAACCACTAACAAAATTTAATAGAAATAGGTATTATAAGTCAAAGTTTAAGTTTTTTAAAATAATGTACAAGTACAGATGGTCAAGACCAGGCTTAGCAGGGGGGCATGTGATTTTTGTAAATGTACACATGTGGATTTAGAGTTCTAATTGACTGTAAACTCATTGTGAGTCAGTGCTTTGAAGTGTGTGCCCAAAAAGCTAACAGTCTTGGACTATATTAATAGAAGTATAGCATCTAGATCAGGAAAGGCATTAATCTTCTGCATTCCTTACTGGCCAGGGCACATCTGGAGGTTGTGTTTGGGTCTGGACATTCCATTTTAAGAGAGAATAACAAAAAAGCACACTCCAGAAGATGGAACCAGGATGAGGAATGGTTCATTTCTCTCCTTCATTCATCAGATATTTATTAAGTGTCTTTGGTTGAGTTTAGTTACGCACCTTTGAGGCTGGTGAAATCAAAGATGTCTAGCTTGTAGAAGAGACTTGGAGAAATAATGGCTGCATTTAAACATGTAAATTATTATCTACTGGAATAGCAATTTGGCCTAATAACTTTAGTATTTCCTATTAGCTCTAAAGGGTAGAGATAGAACCATTAACTAGAATTCACCATTAACTAGAACCATTAACTAGAATAACCAAGCAGATTTTGGTTGCCAATAATTAAGAAGCAATTCTAATGATTGAAATTATCCTTTTCAGGAATTAAGCAGATTCCCCAAGTTGACATTCCTAGTGGGTGGTGGAGCTAAGACAGAAGCCCCCCTTTCTGGGTTCACAGGCTAGAACCTTGGCTATGCCTTGATATTACACAGGGGTTTCCACTTTGGGAGGAGCTTATAGAAAGATAATCTCAATTTCCTTGCAACTCTAAAGTTGTATTTCCCTTCTAAGCCTCCAGCTATGAATTCCTCCTTCTGGGTTCTCAGTATTTTCCTGTGTGAATTGGAAGACTGGAATAGAGTACCTCTGAGGGTCAGCAGGTGATTTCCTTAACATCCCCCTTAAAATTATTTTAGTTCTTAATACATATTAATTTTATATAATTTGGCACTATTAATCAAAAACAAAAACTGTGGCTAGATATAAGAGCATGAGAGTGTGGAATTCAGATTCTTAAATGTGGGTTTAGGCAGTATTTTTAGTCTTTACTTGAAGCACATGTTTTAAAGATGTGGTTTCATGGTTTAAAACATGAAAGCAAAAAATCAAAGAAGAAATTGTGTAGACTTCATGAGCCATTAGATTTCACAATAGTCACTGGGAGAAAGTAGCAGGAGTTTCTTGCACTTCAAGTTCATTTTTTCCTCATTGTTCTCCCAACAGGGCAGGAAAGGATGGGGACCTAAATATGCAGTCAGAGGGCAGCAGTGCTGAACTTTCTCAGACACAGCTAAGTAACCTGGATCTGGCCAGTCACAGGACTCAGAAGCCCAGAGCTGAGAGCTGACAGGGAAGAACTCTCTATAAACACAAGAAAGGGGCATGGCAGGAAGGCAGAGGCCTGGGAAAGAAATCAGAGGCAAGAGAAGTGTTACTTTTATCAGGTGTGAAATTGAAACCTCTTTGGCTCCACACCACTCTCCTTTCCACCCTATACATTGGAGCTACTAATTTAATGAGCAAAACCCATAGTAACCTGCTAGGACTGTGCATCCAGAACACAATGTTCATGGTTTATGCCACTGTTAACATTTTATAAGGTGGTTTGAGGGTGGGTGGAGGTAGGGAGTATTTATATGAGGCTAAAAATATAGCTTTAGGCTTTTCCTCCTTTCTTTTTGAACTCCTAATTCCTTATACTATATCACTGGTTTTCATACTTTTTTATATTCAGCTGCCAGCACAAAATACATTTCACTTCTTTACTCACTATGAACAAATATGCACACAAATACATGTCTGACACAGCCATGTACACATGCAAGTGCAAAATAAGTGTTTCAGAACATGAGATGCCCTTTCATGTTTTCTACCTAATCTATTTAGGTGTCATTAATGTCACAGACCAAAAACTCATTACATGGCCTATCATGCTGTTCAGCCCATAATTTCAGAAATACTATGCTGTGAACACCAGTCTTAGCATGACTACAAAAGTAGCATGTTTGTATCCAAAACCCCTTAAATCTGAGTTCCTTCTCAACTGGGAAAATTGTGTCCTTCTGAGGAAATGTGACAGTGTCTGGAGACATTTTTGTTCATCACAAGCAGTATGGGGGCCGTAGCAGGAGGGTAGGGATGTGGCTACGCACTCTGATGACAGGCAGCCCCGCGGGGCAGTGAGTTAGTCTGAAACATCGGCAGTGCCAAGGTGAGAAAACCCTGCTCAAAGGCAGTAAAATAAGTTAATACTTCTAATCTACTATAAATCGATTTAGAATGACAGAAGCTTTAACCTGATCTACCTTTTCTCTTTTTCTCTTTGAACTGTATTTTCTGTGTTAAAATGAAGTTAGGCTTGTGTACAGAGGCACAGCCAGTGGCTAAATAGGTTACAAGGAATGAGTGTCATAGTTCATTTAAATTACACCAAGCATTTTTTTTAAGATTTATTTATTTATACATACAAGGACTGGGGTACAGGCCAGAAGTGTGGGGGGTGAGAGGATTCACCAGCGACAGAGTGGGAAGCAGAACAGGCAGACTGAAATACACTACTGAGGGGAGCAGTGGGCGAGACAGGAGAGGTCTGCTGTACCATGTGGGTCGTGACCTCCCTGGCCGTGGATTGAACTCATGCTGCAGTGGCTGTGGACAGCTTCATAGTGCTGCATCCCAACCCCTTGCACCATCAGGGAGGCCCCACACCAGACTTTTTTTTTTTTTTTGGTGGGACCCTCGCTGGCAGCTGGCGAACAAACTGGCGCTGCAGAGTCTGCGGGCAGCCTCACAGCCCAGCACTCAACCGCTGCACCAAGGGAGGCCCTCACACCAGACATTTTTTTATTAGAATATTGTAATTACTCTTATGACTATTTTCTAGGTTATAATTTCACTTTTCTGCTCCCTGTATACTACCCAATAAGCTTTGCTTTTCAGGTTCCTTCCTCACTCAGCCATAGCTGCTCTCTTAGAAAAGAAGGGAATATCACTAATTAGATTAGCCAAGGTCCCTAAAGCTTCTCTCCTTTACTCATGAGATTTGATTCTCTTGTTTTGATGGGAAATGACCTTCTGCTCGTGTTGGCGTGCCACCCTAAGCCCTAGTATTAAAATGTCTCCTTTTTAGCCACTACTTCACTCCTCCATCTGTAGCTATTTCAGACCAGGTTCCTTTGAACATGGACTGGACATGCACTCCTGGTGTAACGGAGAGCCCTGATCTCCACCTCTTCCTCCACCCTTGTCTTGCATCAGAGAAACTCTTGAATGTCTTGGTGTCTGCCTGTTGTTGCTTTTTTCCTCTTTTATTGGCTATTTCTGGGCCCCCTGCATCTAGGCTCCCATGTGCTCTGAATCATTCAGAGAGTCTGACAGAACAGACCTGGCTTAGCTTTTTCTCATGTTTTCTTTGAGAAACAGTGAGGATGACAGAAGATACCACTGATTTCAAATATCAAAACTAGAAATAGTAGTAGAAAATAAAACCAATGCTATTTGAGATAGTTCTTTGCCATATTTATTTTAGCATATTTACCTCATGTATCTTGGATTACATAAACAATAGCATTTGTATTTAGTAAATTACTACTTAAAAATAATTTGTAGTAAATAGCCAAATGGCTATGTGTGTACATCGACCTTGAAACCTTAGATTTCTATTAGCATAATACTGAATATTACTACCAACAGATTCCAGAACGAATGCTGGAAAAGCTCCGGTGAGACATTGGACTTCAGACACATAAATTCCATTCCATCTCCTCAGGAGAGCTATTGGGACAGAGATCTCCTTCCCACTCCTAGGTTAAGAATAAAAAGACAACATGTAGATGAAGGGAACTCAGGAGGAGTCATCTCTCTGCTTTCCCTGTTCTAACTCAGTTTCACAATCCCAGGCAGGACTCAGATAAAGCAGTGGTGTTATGGGTGGGGCACCCGCTAGAGAAGAGTGATAGAATAAAAGGGAAAGACAATTGTGGATGGAAAAGAGATCACTGGATGATGACACCCCACCCCCACCCCTGCTTTCTCCCTTGCTATGGGTTGGGGCTGCCCTTTGTAGTAGGAAGGGCAAGTTATATGAGATCCTGCAGCTGGGCATTAAACTAAAGGCATAGTGTGTGATTATAGAGTGTCCTACCCAAGAGATGAGTCTAGGCCTCCCAGATAGCTTTGTGTTGTGACAGGAGCAGGACCATTTGGGTGGTAGAAAGTGGTGATGGTTCTCTTGGTTTAGGGTTTATCCATTGTTTGCTTCCAGACTAGGAAATTCAGTCTGGAACATCACACCTCAGAAACTCTATGAATAAAACAAACTTACTGCCCTTAGTTTCTCCACAGTCTGCTAGAAAGTGAGAGCAGGCTGATCCCAAATGTCTAGAGAAAACCTCTTCTTTTGCAAAGGAGGAGGAATAGGAAGAACCTGGGCAAAAGGAATATCCTGAAGAGAGTGAGTGTTTAAATCTGTATGGTACAAGTGGGTATAGTTTGTGTATTTTACCTTCAGGCTGTGAAAAAGAAGGTAAACTGAAACCCTGCAGCACCTTGCAAGTGAAAGCCACTTCATAAATTATATTTATCTCTTTAGACATGAAGTTTCTTTTATTTCTGCCAGTTTGCACAAGTCCTTTTACTTCCTGGCTCTGACTCTTCTAGGGCCTTCTGGTGATTAATTCTGTGCCTCAGTGTTTGCAGTGCTTGATAGTGCCTTTGTTTTGTCATCAGTTGATACTTTACTTGGACATTTGAGTCCTCTTTAGTAAGCAGTCCCTTGGTCAGTTCTGCTTAGTTCCTACAATTTTGACTTATTGACTGATCGTCACCATGAAGGGCTTATTTTTACTCATTCATACCTCGATCCCTTTTCCCAACATTCCCATTTAGAGTTTGATTAACTGTATTCCTACAGATTATATAGCTTTATAAATTCATTTTTTGCCACATGCTAAGATTTGTTTTGCACCAAGCTTATCTGCATGAGATGCTGAGTGGCCAGAGCAGAAAATAAAGAGAACAGCCTTGCCATAATGCACTCGAGCTCCCAGTCCACCCAGTGAATTAACATGAATTCAAAACACTATGTGAATTCAAACTCACATAGTATAAGAAATGCCCAGAAGATGACAGAGGAACCCAGATTTGTTGTTGGATATTATGCTTCGTCTGGCAGGGGTTGGATGGATGCTGAAGTACCTTTGAAGAGTTGAATTATAGGCATTTCGGATCCCAGAGGACAAAAATAAGAGCAAATGACTCTTAGGCATATGTGAATGAGAAACTGGTAGACATAATTCTAGATAAAGGTTTCTTATCTAGGATTCTTCTGGCTCCTTGGAAGATTTAAAGATTTTTATTTTTCAGGTCTTTGCTTCTCTCCTTCAAACTGCTTAGATGAGACTCTAGTTTATGTCATTTACCATAGCAGAAGTCACACAAGCACATGACTTGAGGTGAAAAAGGAACTTGAGTTAAGAGAAGGTAGGTCACTTGATTCCCTGCAGAAAACCTGATCAGGTCATCACATCCACCTCCCTTTGATGACCGTGTTCTATAAACAAGAACAGGAATTCTTGCTACTGGATCCCTTTCACCAGGCATCTTAGGCTCGCTGAATGAAAAGCCCTATAAAAAGGAGATGCATCCCTAATAATAACAAATACGATCGTGGTGATATTTTGGGCAAAGTGGGATTTGTGCCTCTCTTGATCTCCATTGATGTCTGCCATTCTTGTCCTGCCACTACCTTTCAGACTTCCTATTCTTAGAATTATTTGTGAGCACTGGACTTGGGGGATTGCAGCCCCCAAGGCTGGAATGCCTAACTTGAGTGGAATGCAGACTGTCTGGCAGAGTGGAGGTTAAATAAAGTTTGCCTTGGCAGTTCCCTCTGTTCTTGGATAGGCGACAAATAACTCGGGTATAGGAGCAATGGCATGAGCTACGGTGCTGAACCAAATAGTCATCCAGGGAAGATTAGTGGTGCTTCATTCTAGTCATAGCCATGCTAGTCTCAACCATGGTATATTAAACATGGAATTACATGCCTGAAATGTGCACATACATACATACATACGGAGACCTCAACAGTCTTGACTCTCAGCTAGTGTCATATGGTTCTAGAAAATGCAGGTACAAGTAAAAGGTAAGTTTGAAACACCCTGCAGGAACTGCAGATTTGTGTATCTGCCCCCTCAGAATTGACTTATTTTTGAAAATAAGACAAAGGGACAGATTTTCACTGTAATATGAACAATTATCAGGCAACCAACAAATGTACCAAGACACTGGGAAATTTTTTAAGTATGTCATATACTTCTTGTTGTGCTTAAGATTTAGTTGGACAGGTAAAGCTATAAAAATATGAGAAAATAATTCATATCCCAAAGTAGAATATTAGTCCTAAACCTCTGCTATACAAATACAACCAAGTGCCCAAAGGAGGTCTAGCTGGAAAGATCTAGAAGGATTTCAGGGAGGCTTAACACAGGTCTTAACTGAAGACAGATTTCTGGAGAGAAGAGGCCCTTGTCAGTGAGAGGACTAGTATGAACGGAAGGCAGATGAGGCAATCCTCAAGACGGGTCATGGAAACTTGATGATCAGCTGGATATGGACAAAGGAAAGGAATTTTTGTAAAATCTCCAAATGTTCACATAAAGGTGCAGCATTGACCAGAGACAGTTCTCTTTAAGGTTCTATCCATAAAACCCTTAAGATGATATGATGTGGCTCCTAGTGGACACTCAGTAAGTAACAACATCACTATTATTAACTAAATCTTCAAATTCTGTGAGCCCAGCTATTTGAGTTCACTTTACAAGAGTTGGTGCTAACTCTGCTTTGTGTTGTTCTGGTTGCTCACATGATTCCCACCTTGGTCCACCCTTTCCTTCAGGTTTATCTGACCTGTCTTCTGTCTTTGCACCATAGGTGGCTAGAGGTGCAAGTAGCTAATTTAACATGTCCACAGCACTGGGTGCAATACCTCCGACTTCTTCGGGAATCAATCTGGCCTGGTGGAGCTTTGCTTAAGTATCCTCGATCTGTAAGGACCAAGGAGCAGAAGATGGCTGCTAAGAAACAGGCGCTGCAGAGCTTGATGAGCATCCTGCCAGGTACTGGATGATGAGGTTGATTTTACAGATAAGTATTCCTTTGCTCTCCTGCTCTGCCGAGAATACCCCAAACCCTTCCCATTTTTAAAAGGGTTTTAAATGTGGTAAGACTCAAAACACTGTTGCCCCACAAGGATAACAGGAAAATGGTGAGGGCTGGGGTTCTTTTACCTTTCACCCAAGTGATACTGAGGGAATGTAAAATGGACCACACCTAAGAGTCGGTGAGAATCATGGGTATTTACCTTGGGGCAGGCGAGGGACGCTCTCCTTCACCACGGCGGCAGGTCTGAGTCACTTCCAGCAGATGAAGACTCTGGTTTTCTGTCAGGTCACTGCACAGTGACCAGGGGGAATGACCTGTCCTGCAAAAGCTTACAGCTAATTAATTGGAACCACTGAATAAAGTACGTGGTCTTCAGCAGTAGATAAAAACTCTGAAGAGGGCTTTTTTCCTTCACTTTGTATATTTTTAGAAAGTAAGGAAGGCAATTAACTCTGGTAACCAGGATTCAGTAATGAACTCTTTTTTTATTAGCTTTTTTTTTTTTTTTAAGATTTATGCATACAAGAGCTGAGGTATAGGCCAAAGGTGTGGGGACGGTGAGAGGATACACCAGAGACAGAGTGGGGAACAGAACAGGCAGACTGACTGAAATACACTGCTGAGGGGAGCAGCAGGTGAGTCAGGAGAGGTCTACTGTGCCATGTGGGTAGCTTCTGGCCATCCGGGGAGCAGGATCGAACTCATGCTGCAGAGGCTGCGGGTTGCTTCATAGTGCTATGCTTATTAACCCCTTGTACCACCAGGGAGGCCCTCAGTAATGAACTCTTATTAGCTTTGGACATTTTTATTTACTCTTACTAAGCTCTCATCTCCAGTCTAAACTGTTATATCAGAGAAGTGATAGGTCACAGTTAAGTGATAGGTCACATAATTATTGTTTGAGGCCTATTCTTATTTAGAAAACTAACAACATTTTTCTCAGCTTTTCCCTGTTTTCTGAGGATTTTAGTTTGGTTATGTGTTCTGAGGTATGCCACAAATACCCAGTTTCTAAAAGGAGATAGTCTAGAATCTAAGGCTTTAGTGGAAACACTAAATATTGTGTGTTTTTCCCTCTTCAGATATCGTAGTGGAAATCCTTGGGGTGAACAAATGCCAGCTGAGCTGGAGTCTGGTCTTGGAGTCAGTGCAGCAACCCCTCATCAACAGGTAGGCGGAGAAACACTGCCCAGCATAGCCGAAGCTATGTCTGGCCTCAGAGTTGTCTAAGGCTTCCAAGTGATCAGTCCACACTGAGAAGACTGGAGCTGCAGTCTTGCCTTGCCCTGCACCCTGACTCCCCATGTGATGTCCAGGTCCACACACACTAAGCAGACCCATGCTGCCAACTCCTGGACAGGGTGCCATGTCGTGAGTTGGTGTTGGCCCATCCACTGTTGGCATTTGGAAGAACGTAATGCTACTGAAAATGCCCTGTCACTGACCCAGGCTTATCCAGCGTGCTTCATGGGTCCTTTCGACATCTGCCAGCCACTGTCTACACTGCGAGAATATCCCCTGACCTGTGCATTACAATCTGAATCCAATTACAAGCAAATAATGACTCAGTTTTAGTTATGGCCTCGCGGGAAAGCTGTGATTAGTGTCAGGATTAGTTTGGACTTTACCTGAGTTTGTACTCTGATAAAGGAATGCGACGGGCTGGGAGAGCACATCTAGAATAATTCAGAAAAGGTCAGTATGTCTCTGACTGATAGCTTGGGATAGAATGCTGGAAAGTATTGAGTGCTTCCACGCCTCTCAAACCCTGTCGCAGAGCAGACAGTCTCTGTTAACTCTCGCTCCTAAAGGGTCCGGGCTTTTGCCTCACTGCCTATACATAACGTTTAACTCGGTAGTGATTCACTTTGAGAAACAGCAGTAATTAGGAGGTCTGAAATTTTTAGTATGTTAATATCACATGGATTTCTCCTCCCTCACAGTTCTTCAGTGCAGTACTGGTGACTAATACAGCTATATCAATATGAATTCCCCCAAAATCTAGTCTCAAGTACATTTCTACCTTTATTGGGCCATAGCCCTTATTAGTTCAGTAGACTTGTATTTCATGGCAGTAGCTTCATCAAGCTGTTGAAGTTTGAAGTCCAGTGAGAATCAGTAATAGCTGAGAAGGGGGAAGGAAAATACATTCATCAAAAAGATCTGGCGTCTTGACTGAGCCAGACCCTACACTAAGTTGTTTTGTCCATTTGTTTCAGACATTTGATTTACTGCCTTTGGGACATCCTCCTGGAATTCTTGGATCTCAGTGCCTCTGTTAAGGAGTCTCCTATAACCACCTCTGCCTCAGCAGCCCCCAGCAACTCCAGGAGCACGAGTGTCTCCCCTTAGACTGGAGATCATTCCCATTCTTTGAAGACTGGAAAAGGAGAGTTTCTGTGCCACCCGAAGACGAGTCAGGAAGCCTGTGCCTCGGGAACCCGGCTGTAGCTCAGAAGGCCTGGGTCCCAGCGCACCGCTCTCCCCGAGCTGTACTCCGTCAGCAAGTGACAGGGGAACATACGTACCAATTGCATGAACACCCATTTCCATAGCTTTCTGTGGTGACTGGAGCATAGCTTGTGGGTAGGTCCTGTTTCCTTTGGAAAAGGAAGCTGTGAGGTAGAGGAATGAGCCCCTTTTGCCTCGACTTTCACATTCCTCCTCCCTAAGATTTTGTGCCAGTCACCTGGCCCTGTGTGTCTATGCACTTACTCTACCAACACAAGCTTTGGAGAGACCAGGAAAAAAGCTATCGCCAGATTTCCTTGAAGGAAAATACAGTCTTCTGCACTGTCTGTTCCTACCATGAAGCTGAAAATTCAAGACCACTCTTGAAAGCCAGACCCAGGATCCTGTCTAGTTTAACAACAATTCCAGAAGAGAGAAGGAAAACTTCTCAAGGGACTCCTTGCTCATTGGCTATTTTCCAACACATCAACCCTGTGGAGGATGTCTCTGAAAACTGCTTCCCTAAGTGGCTACATTTTTCCCTGAAAACTTCAAAGCCTACAGCCAACACTTCTAGTAGAGCCACTCCACCCTCCACACCCTTTCCTGAAACAGTTGCATCACAGATTTTATTTATTAGCTTTCCTCCCTGCCCCCTCACCATGAGCAGTTGAGTGGCCCTGGTGACCTCTCTGTCTTCAACAAAATTGCCTGGCAAGTTGCATACTTAGCCCACAGTTCCCCGAGGACTCACTCCACGCTGAGAATGCCCAGCGAGTAGGAAACGCAGTGGGAGGGCAGATTTCTCTCCACAAGTCTGTGCCAGGGAACTTTTACTCTGAAGTAATAGAAGACTTGCAGGGAATTGATAATCCATAAAAAACTTCATTTCCTGTTCCTTAAGGATCTAATTAGTCTTTAAGACACCACTGATGAAGGCAAAGGTGTTCTGTCAGGCTGCAGGGCCCGTTAGAAAGATGGAACAATTAGGAGACGCACTGTTAGAAAAGGAGACAATCCCAGGGCAGTGATGCCCCAGGGCATGTGAGCAGCCTGCCGAGGTTTACAGGGAGCAAGGCTTCTGCTCACCCCTTGGCCCTTTTGCTTTGTATCTGCTGTTAGTGCCCTGCTTTCAGTGAATTATGGATCCTCCCATGTGGAGAAGAGGCTTAGGGTTGGACCAATAAGGATGGGGGCAGGTCTAGAACAAATGTCAAGGTTCTTAGACTCTGAAGTTGATTCACACACAATTAAGTGGTTTATGGAAAAAGTTGTGAACTATTTTTACCCCTTCACCCCACAGCATTTAAGCATAAGTTGTGTGCTGATGTAATCAAAAGGCTTTAGGTGTGCTATTAGATACCTCATGACATCTTTTAGCCTTAAAATTTGATTGTTTCAGTGACTTGATGGCTACAAGTTCTCAAAGCACCTCCCACACTAGGCACTCAAGCTGCTCATCATCTCTGCCTTTGCTAAGTATTTGCAGGATTGCGAGTCTGTCCTCACTTAGTGGCGCCAATCCTTGACCTCCTCGGGCTAGAGTCACGATGCTGTTTGGGAGAGGCACAGGTGGCCAGCCCTGTCTTCTGCTACCCTTCTCGCCCGTGTTGTGCCCTGTCCTAAGTGTATGCACGCAGCCATCTGTATTGTTTTGAATATGCTGCTAGTTCTGGCTCATGTGACACAAAACCAGGACATAAGCTGACACCATAAAATTCCAGTGGCTATTCTAAGGTATCTTTTGGCACTTCCAGCCCAAAGAAAACTCCTCTTATTTCATGTTACGTAAGAGATCCCACTTCTACTCTCTCTGCCCCAAAGAGATAAGCTGTCTTCAGGCCCTCCTTCTGCCCAGAAGGGAAATGCTAGATATCACCATGGAAATAACTAGAACCCATCTGGCTTTGCGAGGACCTGCCAAGTTTGAGTAGCAGGTTCAGGCAACAAGGGAGATGGCATTTGGGAGAGAGCCACAGATATCAGGAAAACATGCTCCCAGCTGAGAGCGTGGTGAGAGGCCAGGAAGAACAGGGCTGGCCTGACACAGAGCATCCTTGATTTTTCCTTTACCTCCTTGGTCCTTACATTTTCCACCAGCCCTCAGGCTTTTACAGCAGCCAATACCAGTTGTTAGGTCGCAGGGGAAATGAAAATATGTGTAAATATCCCTGAGTATATGAATTAGGATGATTTGAACTGCAATGTAACTACATTTCTTCTATGAAATGAGCACAAGTAGGTGAGTCCAGAGGTGCTGGGATCTGGCAGTGCCAACCCCATGAGTGGTACCAGTTCCTCCCCTCTTACTGCTCCACCCTTGTCCACGTTCTGTCATGCCTCAGGCCACCTCCCTCCGTGGTCGCTGCAGTTTGGACCATCACCTTTATGCCCAGCAATATCTGTGAAAAGAAGCATTATCTCATGTTTTCTTTTGAAGAAGGAGAAATCACTGCAAGCCCTTCGAGAACTGCTCACCTGTAAGCCAGTCCACTGACACTGACAACGGCGTTGCTTCTGGCTTGCAATCGTCTTTACTCCCAGAGAGGAGGTCACCCTCCATGAAGAAGGTTGATACCTACGAAAAATAGACGTTCGCAGGGAAGAAGCAGAGAATGGGTGTTGATAATGTCTGTTACAGGGTCTTTCTGCCACCATCAGCAATGCCCTGTGGGACCCTGAAAATGCCCGGTACCAGCTCAGGGATAACATGAAGATGCCACCTTTAGAACTTCACTTACACTAACTTATTTAACCCAGACATCAACCAGTGGAGTAGGCTGCATGGTGCTTCCCCATTTTATAGTGCGGAACACACCAGAAAGGGGGTTTGCAAAAAGTCACTTGCAGGGCTAGTTACAGAGCTTATCATTCTGCACTCAACCCACATGCATAATCACCATGCTAATCTGCTTCTCTTACAAAATAGGACTGGGTTTCACCTTTAAGGAGCCTGGAGTCTACGGGTTAGACTGGTGGCCTACGGGTTAAGCCTCAGCACTATCACCGCTGCGAAATGAGTTTGCGCCCTGGTCAGGGAGCTACCCACATGGCACAGCAGACCTCTCCTGTCTCACCCACTGCTCCCCTCAGGAGTATATTTCAGTAAATCTGCCTCTTCTGCTCCCCACTCTGGTGAATCCGCTCACCCTCCCCCTGAACCCTCTGGCCTACACCCCAGTTCTTTTATGCAAAAAATTTTTTTTAAAAAGTCTGGAGTCTAGTAGAACAATCGGCAAACATTTTTCGTAAAGGCGCAGAGAACACACTTCATGGCCATGTGGGGGTTTCTGTTGCAATACTCAGGACCTCCATCGTACTGTGGCAGCAGTTGTGGGTGATACACAAGTGACCAGCTGTGTACCAGTAAACTTTATCTGTAAAAACAGGCAGCTGGCCAGGCTTGACTCATGCATAATTTGCAGATCCCTTGTTTTGTGGGAAGAGTGTTGATTAAACTTCTGTGTGTGTGCATGTCACTTACCTGGGATCTTGTTAAAATCCAAATGTTGATAACAGCAATCCTGGTCCCAAGCTCAGAGGTGGATGTCACTGAGAATGTAGATCATCAGCTAGTCTGAGTACCAGGCCTAAAACACAGACAATTCCAATCGGGTGTGATTCGTGAACTATAAGTAAGTAGGAAGGCTTCTAGTTAAGATTGAGAGACCATGGGAAGCCTGAAGTGGAAATACCTGAATTGACTCTGGAAAGATTAATAAGAATTAGCCATTGAAAGCATGGAGAGGCTGTCTAGATGGAGGAACAATGAACATGGATACAAAGACAGAGAGCAGGGCCTCCCCGGTGGTGCAGCAGTTGAGCACTGGGCTGCGAAGCTGCCCGCAGCCTCTGCAGCACCAGTTCGATCCCCGGTCGCTGGCGAGGGTCCACATGACACGACAGACCTCTCCTGCCATGTCCGCTGCTCCCCTCAGCAGTGCATTTTGTTGGTCTGCCTGTTCTGCTCCCCTCTCTGGCTCTGGTGAATTTTCTCACCCTCCCGCGCTTCTGACTATACCCAGTGCTTATATAAATAAATAAATAAATCTTTAAAAACAAAAAGACACAGAGCAGTCACTAAAAGACAGAAACATGTGATTCCACTTCTCTGAGAGAGATGCCTGGAGACCTTAGAGGAGTTGTTGGGGATGGAGGCGGGAGGGTGAGCTGTTACATAATGGATACAGACTTGTTTTGCAGTATGGAATAGATCTGGAGATCTGTTTTAAATGTGAATATACTTAACACTAAACTGTATACTTAAAAATGATTAATGGTAAATGTACTACAATCAAAACAATTTTTTTTTTTTTAAAGAAAGAGTTGGAGAATTGCTGGTAGGAGCAGAGCGCACAGGGGAGCGAGACATGCTGAGGAACCTGGGGTGGTTCTCTCACTGCAGGATGGGGAGCCATTGAAGAAACTTCCTGTTTTATATTGGTTACAAGGTTGACAATCCCTGCTACTTGATTGTAGTAAAGTAGCGGGTCTGAGTCCTCCTCCTGGTGGACTTGACTCCTGCCTCAGTCATTATTTCACCCCCCTTAATTTCTTCAAACCTACTTCTCTTTTTTTAATAAATGACTTGAGGGAATTGTAGCATATAATGAACCCTGATCGAAACCCTGGCTGTGCCTCTTTATCAGCTACAAGGATGTGACAGCTAAGTGACTAATCTTCAGTGAGACTTAAATTTCTCTTAAAAAAAAGTCACATACAACCATTCTGAGAATTGGTGAGATAGGGCCTCCCTGGTGGTGCAAGGGGTTAAGCACCGCACGATGAAGCAATCCACAGCCTCTGCAGCACAAGTTCTATCCCCGGCCAGGGAGCTGCCCACATGGCACAGCAGACCTTCCTGACTCGCCCGCTGCCCCTCAGCAGTGTATTTCAGTCGATCTGCCTGTTCTGTTCCCCACTCTGTCTCTGGTGAATCCTCTCACCCCACACACATACACCTCTGGCCTTTACCCCAGCTCTTGTATGCATATATAAATAAACCTTAAAAAAAAGAGAAAAAACAGTTCCTTTAAAAAAAAATTGGTGAGACAGTCTATAATATCAAGTACATCAACAGCATGATGGTCCCCTTCCCTGCTGTTTGAGGCAGCCGGTGGAGACACCTTGTGTCAGGCACCCAGTCAGCCACTCTGTCCTGTGGCCAACCGTGGGTTCCACGGCCCACTCGGAACCTACTGTTTATCCTTTTCCCTGGAACAAGCTGTGTTTTCCCAGAATGAGGAAAGGAAGGTTAGCCAACCCTGCTGGATACAGCTGGGAATGGGAACCAGGAAGAGTGGTAATTGGGGAGAAAGGGAAACCATGATGCTTTTGTAGTCGAAGGCCCAGCTGGGCTACCTCTGCCAGAACTTGGCACCTCTGTTTCCTTTCCATTGGGAACGCCAGAAATCACAGGGCAGAGGACTTTGTGAACTAGAGAATGAAACCACTGAAGGGTCAGCTTCAGCAAGCAACCCTCCGTCACTCCTTGAAGTATAAAGCATAAGATACTACTACACACAGAACAGTCCTTCTTGGTACAGAGCAGTTGAGGCGGAGGGAGGCTACTACCCCCAGACATAATTCCACATCCTAAGACTAGTCCTGGGTAGTTTAAAGAAAGAAAGAACAAAGAAGGCATACACCTAAGAAGAAGCAAGTGAAAAATCACCAGAACCTTTTCCTGCTGTGACCCAGTACAGCAGGGCTTAAAGCAGAGGCAGCTCTAAAGTGGCGAGGAGAACTGGGCTCCTTGGCCGATGCACTGTGCTATTCTCAGACCAGCTGAGCCTACTTGCCACCTCCCTCTCACTTCTCACCTGTCTCTGGTCCGAGAGAAAGTACCTTTGAATGCGACTTTTTGGGAAGTGAGAACAAGCATGTGATGGAACACAAGTCTGATTTCTGCTACAGGTATGTCTGTACAAGTTACAAGCACAGATTCAGAAGGAAGACTGGGGGGGGGAAAGAGTAAAACAGGGCCTCCCGGGTGGCGCAGCGGTTGAGTGCTGGGCTGTGAAGCTGCCCACAGCCTCTGCAGCGCAGGTTTGATCCCCGGCCACTGGCGAGGGTCCTACATGGCACGTAGACCTCTCCTGCAGCGCCCGCTGCTCCCATCAGCAGTGCATTTCATCAGTCTGCCTGTTCTGTTCCCCGCTCTGTCTCTGGTGAATCCTTTCACCCTCCTGCACATCTGGTCTGTACCCCAGTTCTTGTATAAATAAATAAATCTTTTTAAAAAAAGAAAGAATAAAACAAAGTAAAAGGAAATAACAAAGATCCAGATTCAGAAAACATTTCTGGAAGTCATATCATTATCTACTTATTTAATCCAAAATAGACCCTTGTCACTGGTCAGTCTCTGTTCAGGAAATGCAAACTCATTTTAATATTAAAGCCTTATAATGACTAAGACGACGTCTGTGATTGATATATAAATAATATACACTTGCCTTATTTTTTTCCTCCCCCTCATGTTCCTGTAACTGTGAGCAATGGAGAGTTGAGTTGGATAATTACTTCCGGACATTTGAGTTAATCCAGGAGGTAAAGACCAAGTTAGATAAACACAAAAGTCTGCAATTGTGGATAAAGGCCCCAACCTGTCTACAGAAGCTAAGTTTGTGTGTCCTAGTGATCGCTAAGCCTGGGTAATAAGCCCCTGCACCTATCTCCCTTGTGGAAGAATCATACTGGCCCCATAGCAGCCAAAATAACTTAACCATGGTGTAGCAAAATGTCTGCATCTCATATCTTACCATTAGTAGGGAGGTTATACTTACTTAAATCTTTGGGATTCTGCATCATTTGCAAATACGTACTGTAAGTCCAAATTCAACCAAGTGAAGGCAAGCCAGTTCCTTTCCAGCATCAGATGGCTGTGTTGAACTCCTTGTATTATCTACAGACAAATGATTCTGTTACAGGGTAGGCAGAGGGACACCCCAGAGCCCCAAACCTGCCTGATCTAAATAGTTTCTTCCATCATGCACATTAACACAAAACATGTAAGACTTTAATGAAAAGGAACTTTATACAATTAGTAAACAATACAGAAAAGGGAAAGAATAGTTTCTAAATCAAGCACCCAAAGTTACCCATCCCCTCATGAGTAAAAGTTCCCCCAAGCAGGACTGGCCCAGAACAAGACCCCAAAGCCTGCCACAAGACTAAAGCACCTTCCAGTGGGGACCCACAGAAAAGGATCAGAAACAACCAGACAAGTCTGGGAGAAAAAGCAAAATCAAAATCAAGGTAAAAGCTGCTATTGTTATCCTCCCCATTGGTCTCTCACCCACATCTGTGTCACCCAGTCGATGACCAAAAGGCAAGTGCAGTTTCTTCACATGTATCTCGGCTCCATGTGCCTCCTCCAGGTCTCCTTCTGGTTCTCCATCCTTCTTCCTTCCTTCCTTAGTCTCCTCTGCAGCAGCTTCTCTCCCTGCTCAGCTACACCTTCCTTTGGGTGGGGCAGGGAACCTGGAACCTCCCCCTTTCCTGGGGACCACCCTGTTACAATTCAAGAACAGTGAGGGTGCCTTTCATGAAGGCTTCATGCGTGCCAAGGAGACTCATGTGGGCATGGTTGAAAATAAGGGCAACGTGGGGACAGAAAGCATTATGGAGATGGTTTAGGCAGGTTAGATGAGATGGCTCAGACATGTGGGAGCTTGCATTCTGTTCTTTCCTGCTGTTGATCATTGGCGCATGCTCCAAGTGCATCCTTCCTGCTGCCAGCTGTACACAGGTGAGCACCCTCTACCCATCAGGGCCAATTCAGATTCCACTCTCTCCATGAAGCTTTTTCTGGTTGTGCCAGCCAATGCTTCCTCTCCTTCCTCTGAAGAATCATATTGCCCACTAGCTGCCAAAAATCTTAACCACCTCCTAGCAAAATATCTCCATTTCATATCTTGCCATTAGGGAGGTTATACGTGAGTTATTTCCACTGCTTCCAAAATCAATGTGCATACAGATGGGGTCTTCAGTAGAGATTGTAATTCTTCAAGGACAAGGAGTAGATCTTGCATCTTTTCTCTTCCCATTACATCCCTATGCCTCCTCGCCCTTCCTGTATGATGCCCAGTCCATAGTAGGTACCAAATAAATACTGAAGCTCGTTTCATTAAAGATTGTTTATTAACATTTATGAGGTAAAATTTGTGAATAAATCCAATGAACGAAGAATTTCCTGAGGACAGAGCATGAAGACAGGGACGGGGGGAGCAAAACTTCATTTGTTGGACATTATATCTTTATTCAGCAGTCAATAGCCAATGAAAGAATTTTATTCTTATGTATCCTATGCCAAAACCTAAACCATTTTAACAGTACCTTTCACACTCTTATGGGAGCCATAAGCTCTAAAACTGAAAGTTTCTTAAAGAAATTGGTTGTGATTTGAAAATGTTTTTTAAAGTGATTCAGTCACAATAGTGCCCAACATACCCTGTTGACTCTCCAGCCCCCATCTTTCCTATTTTGCAACCATCCCAGGCCAGGTAGGTTCATTGTCAGTTCTCGCAGATGAAAAGATGATTTTGGAGCCTTTGGTAGATTTTTACAGGCCTTTAATGCTGAATCAGGGAACAGACCAGCTTTCTCTCAGTATTTCTGACTGTCTCAGCTCCCTGTTCTCCCTCTATAGCCTTACCACCACCACTGCCCATCTATCCCCTTGCAACAGGTGTCCCTATTTACATATGTGCATGCCCAGTGCACTCTGGGCCCAGGTGTCCATAATTACAGGTGTGCTTGCTAGACCAAAGGTGCCCAATCACAGATGCTAATGGCAGTGAAGGTGTAAAAAAGTCTAAGTTTTTTAAAGATTTATTTATTTATGCATACAAGAACTGGGGTGCAAGCCAGAGGTGCAGGTGCTGGGAGTGAGAGAATTCACCAGAGACAGAGTGGGGAGCAGAACAGGTGGATCTACTGCACTACATTGCTGAGGGGAGCAGCTGGTGAGGCAGAAGAGGTCTGCTGCGCCATGTGGGTCAGCTCCCTGGCCAGCCAGGGATTGAACTTGAGCTGCAGTGGCTTGTGCTGCAGTGGCTTGTGCTGCAGTGGTTAGCAACAGCTTGATAGCATTGTCACTAACCCCTGTGCCACCAGGGAGGCCCCCCCACAAAAAAAGCCTAATTTTTGACTCATTTACCTTACACTCCCCTTCTCTATCTCACTGTGGTTGGTAAACTAAAATAAAAGCCTTCCTGCCCTAGATGCAAATTTATAGGGGATGTGTTTACTATGAAGAAAAAGATAACTTTCTCTTCCTCTGTAGGACTGCTTTAAAATTATCTGGGAAATTCTTTGGTCCCAAATTTTAAAAAAGATTTATTTATGCATACAAGAATTGGGGTACAGGCCAGAGGTGTGGGGGGGTGAGAGGATTCACCAGAGACAGAGTGGGGAACAGAACATGCAGACTGACTGAAATACACTGCTGAGGGGAGCAGCAGGTGAGACAGGAGAGGTCTGCTGCACCATGTGGGTAGCTCCCTGGTGGGGATCAAACTGGTGCTACAGAGGCTGTGGATAGCTTCATAGTGCTGTGCTTAACCTCTTGTGCCACCAGGGATCCCAGATTTTAAATTCTCTATTTTTTTCTTCTTTCTCTAACAGCTTATGTCTAAGCTGTTAGAAACTTTCTTCAAAGAAGAAACTTTCTTCAAAGCCAAAACAATAATCTTTTTTTTCCCAAAATAATAATCTTCAAGGAAAAAAAAAAAAAAGATCGCATCAGTTCTCCTCTCTCTTACAAGGGTGTTTGCTGTTTTCTCCATCACAACTGCTGCTGCAACTATTTGCCCACACACAGCAGATCAAAAGTAGGCAGCTGCCTGAGTGTGAAAATGGGGCCTTCTAGACTGTTCACAAGCATCTAATCAAATCCAAGAATGAAAACACCTGGAATACCTGCAGGTCCTTGGGGGGGGGCTGTGGGGGTAAAAGCACCTGCTCTTTGAGGGACCCCATCTAGGCCCTAATTTAAGAGGGCAGGTAAATCAGGAGAGGAGGCAGTTCAATCTGAGAATTAAAACAATGATGCATTTCATAAAGAGAAGGAAAAGCTAGAGCATTTAGTACTGGGTCATACACTGTCTTGGAGGAGGCCTGCTGAGGAAGGCTCCCATCTGCTGTGGAGGAAAGGTCATTCCCTGTGCCAGTGCACATTTGCAGAACACTTGATGTGTAATAGACTCTGGAGCCAAATTTAGTTCTGTATCCACCCTGGGGCAGATTGGTCAGTATCCAGTGTAAACCTCCCTGGGATTAACCACTTATTCCAGTGTAGAGCACTGGATAATTAATACCAGATCTGTTGCAAATAGCTTTGTACATACTGTATATGGGTGAGGACCCAAAGGCTTACTTTCTGCTGATCTGTTTGGCTGAGATAAAGAAACTGTGGCCTCAGCCTTTGAAACAATCCCCATGTACCTTGCACAAAGGTGGGCTTGGTGGCATGTGGTACCCACAAGGTGACAGAAGTGAGGCGATGAGTGTATGTGCCTGGACCCCCGCAGCAGTGTCTGTAGCCTCGGTGCTGGGCAAGCAGGGTAGTGTGTCTGAGCAGCCTGGAGAGGACCGAGGCCAGGACTCATGTTAAAGCAAGCTGAGTGTCGAGGTTTCAGACATGGGAGGATGTCCACGGTTGGGGTGGAATGACCAGTGGTCTCTCTAAGACCAGGATTCTGTGTTTTTCCCAAGTAATGGAAATGGTCTTCACTTAGTCTTTCATAGTAAGCAGCATTGAATCAATAGTTTGCCTCACCCAAAACCTTCTCTATGTTTACTTCTGAAACCTTTAATTAAAAAGGAAGCCTGGGGCCTCCCCTGGTGGCGCAGCAGTTGAGCGCTGGGCTGCTGGGCTGCGAGGCTGCGCGCAGCCTCTGCAGCGATGGTTCATTCCCCGGCCACAGGCAAGGGTCCCACAAATAAAATTTTTAAAAAGGAAGCCTGGTAAATAACAGGGCGGGAAAGCTTTTTTTTTAAAAAAAAATCTTCATATCTCTGTCCTTTCTTTTTCTCAGGCAGCCCCAAAATAGCTTTTTCCTTATTTCTAAAATTTTCTCCCATATCAGTTTCCCAGTCTTTGGTTTAACTTGGCTGGCCCTCTAGTCTAGTTTTTTTTTTTTTTTTAAGATTTATTTATACATGCATACAAGAACCAGGGTACAGGCCAGATGCGCGGGAGGGTGAGAGGATTCACCAGAAACAGAGCGGGGAGCAGAACAGGCAGACTGATGAAATACACTGCTGAGGGGAGCAGCGGGCAAGACAGGAGAGGTCTGCTGCGCCATGTGGGAATCTCTCTAGCTGGCCGGGAATCGAACCCATGCTACAGAGGCTGCAGACAGCTTCACAGAGCTATCCTTAACCGCCTGCGCCACCAGGGGCGGCCCTAGTCTAGTTTTTGATAAATTAATATGGACATCAACTTAAGGCTCCATGTAAACCTTAAATATGTGATATTCCTAGCATTTGATCACATAATATTCTATGAGGAAGATTGCTCTAGTATTCCCTTCCATGAAATCAGAGTAACCACCATACCATACAATTAAATGTTCTGATAAACCCAAAGTACTCCAAAGTACTCACATTTTTATGGACACATAAAAGTTTATGGACACACATAATTTTTTGTGTTCCCCCCAAATTCATATATGACAGCCATAATCCCCATTGTGATGCCAATAGGTAAACCCTTGAGAGGTAACTGGATTTAGATGAGGTCATACAGGTGGGGCCCTGTAGTGCCAGCAAGCACAGAGCAGGGCCACTGTTGATCCCCAAGCCCTCAGTGGATTTTTCAGGCTTTAATGCTCAGAGAACCAAGTACAGAGGTGCAAGGCACAGCAGGCAGGGAGTTGGCCTGCAAGGAGGCAGATATGGGCCAGGCAGGGGGGCTGGGAAGCAAGCAACAGAGCCTCCCAGCCCCCCCCACGAACCATTATGCTCTACTCTGGGCGCTCTCTGGTATTCTTATTCTTGTCTTGTGACTGATCTCACCTCTTCTGTAGTCGCTGCTTGTCCTCGTAGCTATCATCTGTCTCTGAGTGACGCCACCCATCTAGCCCTGGCCTCCAGGCTCAGGTGCCTACACCATACTCCAGGTGTCCACAGTCAGGCACAAGTGCCTCATGTCCACACTCCCAAGCCCCTTCTGCATTAACACCATCAAGGCCTCAGGTCATCGCCAAAGAGGCTAGCGGTGCAAAAAGCCTGATTAAATTCATTTACCCTACAGGTCCTCACTATGAGATTAGTGCCCTTAGAAGGGGAAGAGACACCTGAACTTCCTGTCTCCTCGTGAGCATGAAGAGGTCATGTGAGCATACAGCAAAGAAAGTGACCCTGTATGCCAGGAGAAGAGGCCTCAGATTGGCCTTGTCACTGAACTTCTTGGCCAAGAGAACTGTGATAAACAAATTTCTGAATAAACTGTAAATAAAATTCAGCCTTCGGTGCTGTGTATAGCAGCTGATTAAGATACAAGACTAGAAAGTTTAGCCATGTAATGTCTTCCCCTGATTTAAATCCAGATTCTGAGACTCAAGCAGTTTTAGTGATGGAATACCAAGAATTCTGACACCATCTACCCCGAGGACATAGTATCACACTTCATGGGCTCCATCTCCCAAGACCGACCCCCACTTTAGCTGCCCATCGCAAGCCAGGGGTAGGCTTCTGACCAATCAGCCGTATGACTCCTCAGGTTGGATTAATTTCCTAGTGGCTCACAGTAAAGGAAATCTCTTTACTGAGCAGATTGCTGATTCATGACAAAGGCTTTAACTCCAGAACAGCCAGATGGAAGGGAGGCAGAAGGCAGGGTTTGGGGGGGCACGGAGCACAGGGCCTTCCCAGGCCACACCACTTTCCCAGCGCCTCCAGGTGTTCACCATCCTGGAAGCCTCTGGAGTGCAGCCTTTGGGGGCTTTATGGCCCTTCATTACTTAAGCACAACGGATGAAATCATTGGCCTTTGGCAAATGAGCTCAGTCTCAGGCCTCTTCGGTCCCCAGCTCTGGGGGTGGGACAGGAACTTCTAACCCTCTACTCACAAGGTTGGTTCACCTGGCAACCAGCCTCCTCCCTCAGCTTTCCAAAAGCTTCACCTCATTAACAAAAGAAAACAACCTTTATCACTC